CACATCTACAGTCAAATTATGAGTCGATTTTTCATATCCGTACGGAGTCCATTATTATTGATTGGCCCTAGGTATACCAAGTGCGACAGATAGAAAGTAAGCAAAAATATACGGAGATTGCATTGCATTACACTAAGTAAGTAGGACCAAAGCAGTCATAAAAGACATTAAAACAGTGATAAAAGCAGCAAACGAAGGTGGGTATCGTCATGGATCCAATCACATCCAGCCATAATACAGAAGCAATACAATTCCGGGAGCGCAGACAAATAAGCTGTTGAGGAACAACTTCAAGGGATCCACTTTCCGGAAAGGACGAGGTAAATCACAAATCGAGGGAAGGGGTCATATCTTCATGCAAGCAATTGACCAATTAAATAAGGGGGGAGGACACTATGCAGACAAAGCATCAAGATCACATCTAGATATCTTCAACAACGCGGGCGTTGACTGCATGCTGGAGTCCAGTATCACCCTGAGAGGTAGCGCCGTACTTGCTAGGGCCTTCGCCAAAGCTTTCAGCGGTATTAAGCTGCGTCTGCAGGGACTGACCGGCGACAGCCGGGGCCGCTCCAGGCAAGAAAATAACCTTGCTGTTAGCAGTCTTGGCCATAGCCTGCATCGCTTCCAGGTAGCGGATCTGCATAGCCGGAGCGGAGGACAGGATATCGGCAGCCTGGCGCATCAACTTGGCAGATTCGACCTCGGCGCGCGCGGCAATGACCTTGCTTTCACCGATACGCTTCGACTGCGCCGCCATCGAGAGCGAGTCTTGCAGGTCGTTGCTGAAGATTATGTCCTTGATCAACATTGACTCAACCTTCACTCCCCACCCGGCTGCTACCTCCTCAATGATCTCCGAGGTCGACTGGGCGATCTCCTCGCGGCGCTCGATCACGTCTTGCAACACCCGCGCGCCGATCACATGGCGCAGTGTGGTCTGGGTGCGCTCGATCAGGGCTTGTCGCACGTTCGAGATACCGAAGGCGGTCTTGTGGGGAGAAACCACTTGGTAGTAGATGACGGAGGTCAGGTTAAGGGTGACGTTGTCCTTGGTCATGCAGACCTGACGGGGTACCTCAACGATTTGAATCTTGACATCGACCGTGATGATGTGTTCGCTGAGCGGGTTGATCTTGACCAGACCGGGATCGACCGATCGTTCGAAGCTATAATAATCATTGTCAGTGAATTATATTCGAGTGGCATGATCAAGAGGATGATCACTAACCGTCCAAATCGCGAGATCAAACCGACTGCACCCTGCTCGACAGGCTTGAAGGGGTTGGGGCAGCAGATGCAGCAGGGGATAGCTCCGAAAAATCCGATACATTCACCCAGCGTGTGGACTGAACGAAACATGGTTAGAACGAAAGTCACAGCGCGTATGGGGATTTGCACAACTCACTCAAACCGGCGTACCAGCCATGTGCATCGGGGTTATCATCCTCAGCATGGTTGATTTGGTGCGCGTATTTGGGCTGCAAATCGCTCATGCGAAATGGCTGGACATCGACCAGAGGTTGATGTACTCTACGATCGTTGACGGGAGCCTTGCTGGTGCTTGCGCCGTTTTCAGACATGGTTGAAGTGTTATCGTAGTTTTAAGGACGTTGGATATTTGATATGGAAGGGATGAAGAAGGGGGGAAATCACAAGGTTTTAAATGTTCAAAAGATAAACAACAGAACGGCCCTGCACTTCTCCGCAGTGGAACCACCTCTTTGATGTCAACTCACAGAATTCAATATGATTGGATGATAACTCTAAGCCTCTCCCTTCCCCAAGGCTGAGTCCCTGGTCGGGCGACGCTGGTCCATGCAGATTGGGGGCCGAATACCCGCTATGCTCGTCATAGCTGTTTGCAGCACGAACTCACTGGAACAAGTTGATATACAACATAGTAGGTGTGGCGAGCTATCAAGGTAGTAGTGGCTATAACTTCAAGTATGTGGAAACCATGTACATATTCTAGTAGATGTAAGGTAATCTTCCATTCCCGTTCCTCGAATCTTGTGTTGCATCGCGGACATTGCGCATTCCGATCGGGCATGTCTGGGCATCGTCATAGGTGTTTGTGTTCCACACGGGATATCTCTTCTAGATGTCTTTGCAAGTTCCAGGGCGCAGGGCAAAGGTAGATCCCATCGTTGCCATGCCATGGAAAGGCCGTATATTGCCCATCACATGAACCATTAGGACCTTGGAGGCCTAAGGCGAGAGCGAATACGGAGTACGTAAAATATATTGGAAGTCTAAATAACCAATAGTGTATGATGTTTGGCCCCCTTGGCCCCAAGACCCAGAAGGCAGTGCCCGGAAAACTCTCCGAACCCAACTTTGGAAGGCAGTGCTAAGAGGTTCGGGTGGATACTGGGCTGGAGAGAGGAGAACTTTAATGCGCCTTGTATCTGTACATGATAGAGCAGATGTGCTAGTAATACACAATAATTGAGTATCTCACATCAACTAGCATCATTGGTCTAGTGGTAGAATTCGTCGTTGCCATCGACGAGGCCCGTGTTCGATTCACGGATGATGCACTTCTTTTTTTTGTTTTTGTTTTTGGTAATCTACTATACCGACCGATTACAGTTTTCATCCTGTTCTATCTCTTGTTTTAATATGAGTAGAATCAAAAATAATACAAATGTTTGATTTTTGGGGTTACTATTTCATACTCTATATTCCAAGTATTAACCAAATCGGGTAATAACCTCATTTCAAGGTACCGAACGCAAATATATATTACTAGGGCATCAAGTAGACACAACATCCTAAAGAAGAAATCAATTACATAATTGACCATTACCATTACCATGATCATGATTAATGGCAAGGATGGACATATTCCCACGTGAAAACTATAGCAAGTATAGGAAGTATAGAGAAATCCCTCATTCCCATATCGGATAATGTTGCGCTATACGCCATACTTTACTCGCACGAGAGAAGATAATCGTACAAGTGCAACCTCTGTTATCAAATAGTATCCATTTGGAATCCTCCAGACCCCAATCGCCATCGGCTATGTGCAACCCCCACAATTGCATGCTGACGCCATCGACCTCCAACTGCACGTCTTTTTGCGCGTCTCACGGCAATGCGCCGCGGGGTTAACGCATACTAACACCTGCAGGGACAATAAATATAATCTACCCCTCCAGAGCTCTTGGAAATAGTAAACAATTAATTCAATCCTCCTTTCTCAGACAGACAATCACCATCACCATGTCTTCCGAAAAGAAACAACTCATCATCAATGCCTTTGCAATGCAATCGCCAAGTCACCTAAACCCAGGTCTATTCCGTCACCCAACAGACCAAGGCGCAGATTACAAGAACATCAAGCACTGGATTGCGCTAGCCAAGAAGCTCGAAGATGCCAAATTCCACGCCATCTTCTTCGCAGACGTCCTAGGAGGCTACGATGTATACAGAGGTCCCTCAAACCTCTCCCCAACAATCCCCGCCGCCGCCCAATTCCCAATCAACGACCCCCTCTACAGCGTCCCCGCAATGGCAGCAGCAACAGAATCAATCAGCTTCGGCGTAACTGCCTCAACAACATACGACTCCCCCTACGCCCTGGCAAGACGCTTTTCAACAGTAGACCACCTCAGCAACGGCCGCATCGGCTGGAATATCGTTACCTCATACCTCGACTCTGCGGCGCGCAACTTCGGTCTTGACACACAGGTCGAGCACGATGAGCGCTACCGTATCGCGGACGAGTACCTCGACGTGACCTACAAGCTGTGGGAGGCGTCTTGGAGAGACGATGCCGTATCCTGGAAGCAGGGCTCCGAGAGCAAGACACAGGCATATGCGGATCCAAAGGCTGTTCGCGAAATCAATCACAAAGGGAAATACTTCCAGGTTCCTGGCCCACATCTCTGTGAACCCAGTCCCCAGCGCACGCCGTTTATCCTGCAGGCCGGTACGTCGACGGCGGGTAAGGCGTTCGCGGCGAAGCATGCCGAGGCTGTGTTCTTGCATGCGCAGAAGCCAGAGCTAGTTCGTCCTTCTGTTGATAGCATCCGCCAGCAGGCTGCGGAGATCGGACGTAACCCGCAGGATATCAAGGTTATTGCGGGTGCTTTGGTGATTGTTGCCGAGACGGATGAGGAGGCGAATGCTAAGTTCGAGGAGTTGAAGACATACGGCGATCGGGAGGGCGCGCTTGCTCTTTTCGGTGGTTGGACTGGATACGACCTGTCGACATACTCTGATGATCAGGACTTCCGTTTCGTTGAGCTTCCTGCTGTTCGCAGTATGGTGAACCACTGGGCTAGTACGGTGCCTGGCACTGAGGGCCAGAAGTGGGATAAGAAGACTATTGCTGAGTATTTGGTGCTCGGTGGTAATGGTGTTAAGATCATTGGTAGTGTGAAAACGGTGGCTGATGAGCTCGAGCGATGGGTGACTGTTGGCGATGTTGACGGGTTCAATTTCAGCTATGCTAGTCTCCCTGATACCTTTGATGATGTTATTCGTTTGCTCCTGCCGGAGTTGCAGCGTCGTGGTCTGTTCTGGTCGGACTATGCTGTTAAGGGTGGAACTTTCCGCGAGAACATGTACGGAAAGCAGGGTCAGTCCAGACTACCTGATGCGCACCCTGGCGCGAAATACTTCTGGAAGGAGGGTCAGGAAGTGCCTCCTTATTCATTGGAGGAGTCGAATTAGTAGCATATTTGTATTAGAACAAAGTTTGAAAGGTTTTGCTGCTATTAGCAATAGTTATAAAAAGAATATCATATGGCTTCACCCCTTGTCATTGTTGAATGTATTAAATTGGCCGAATAACAACTCAGTTCTCGTTAACTCGAAAATTTAGGCGTCTAGGTATTGGAACTGACAGGTTTAGGAGTGGCTATGGAAACGTAAACAGTCAAAAGGACATCATAAGAATAGTATTGCTCAACGCTAATTCATCATTAGGTATTTCTATTTCCAAATAGAAAATACACTCATGTATTGGAATCATCCAGTCTATCAAATCAAACATCCCACCATCCCTCCATGTGAGTCTTCAAGTTAAGCTCCTCCGGCAATCTCAAATGAGGCGTCAATTCCGCATCGGGAGTCAACTCCTTCGAAGTCCATCCATTACCAAAGTAAGCGAACCGATTCCCACTTTGATTAACATAGGTATACTCCCAATCCTCCCAACGCGGGTCTCGACGAATATAATTCGAATGCGACGCACTACCGGGGAAGAGACCATGAATCCGAGACCCGGGCTTGCCACCGTTATACCACGAGCTACAGTTTGCCGACCACACAGTGCGCGGGTAGAACTGGTCGCAGTACTCGACGAAGTCATCAGCCGCTTGCTTAGACGGGACGATGGACTTGATTCCCTGCGTGCGGATCTTGCGCAGCACTTTGGCAATGTATGTCACTTGGTTCTCGACGTTGTTGGGAACTGTCCCGCTGTGTCCCGAGGAGTATGGTCCACCGAGCCAGAGGAGGTTCGGGAATCCGGGTGTTGCGAAGCCAAGGTATGAGTACGGGAATCCGAATTTGCCGTCTTGTTTCCAGGCTTGCTTGAGGTCGACTCCGTCGGCGATGATGGAGAATGGCGGTGCGTGGTCGACGTTGGCTCCTGTTGCGCAGATCGTGATGTCCACTTCTCGCTCCACGCCGTCTTCGGTCACAATGCCTTTCTCAGTAAATCGCTTGATGCGCGTCTGGATGTAATCGACGTTCTCTTTGGATAGGGCCTCTAGATATCCGGGTCCTGGTGTTGGGCGACGACACGCTGGGGGGAAGTCCGGGATAATCTTCTCTGCTAATTCGGGTTTGCCTGCAATCCGCTGTAGCATCAGGGCGGTCCATTTCTCACGCAGTTCGTTGTTTTCTGGCGTGTCTTTGAAGATTGCTCCAAAGCGCTGGAAATATCCCTTTTCGACATCCCTTCGGTATTCCAGATACGCCTTGGGATCTTTCCATGTCTCTAGTTGTGTCTCGGAGAACAGATTTGCCTCCAGTCGACGGACTCCCACATTTCCGCTGCTGAACGAATCTGCAATCCATGTTGGATTCCGAGCGTAATGATCAACATGGCTAGCGAATGGTTGAATGGATGGTAGGACCTGCAAGCCGGAAGCGCCATTTCCGATAAGAGCAATTCGTTTGCCTTTCAGATCGATGCTTGGATCCCAGTTAGAGGAATGAAATAGGTTCCCCTTGTAGTCGTTGATTCCTTCATAGTCGGGTAGCTTCCAGGCATTGAAATGACCGATGGCATTGATTACCACGTCGAGTTCTTCTTCATAGATCTGTTGCATATATGTAAGCACAGAACCTCAAAGATCAACATCAACCATTTCTTACCTTTGAGCCATCCACATGTTCAACAGTGACATTCCATTTGCCTTTCTCGGGCTGCCATTCCGCCTTCTGCACTCGTTGTCCCGCGCGAAGGTACTGGTACACATTGTGCTCCCGTGCAACACCCTGCCAGTATTGTTTGATCTCCTCTCCCTGGGCGAATTCTTCCGTCCATTGGGTATTTGGCGAGATGCTGGATTGATATACATGTGCAGGGATATCGCAGCGAACGCCGGGATATGTATTCTCGAACCTGTTAGATACGGGTTAGCAACCCTCTCACACAAAAGACAAGGGCAGAATGGAGAATGTACCATGTGCCTCCCTAAAGAATGTGGTTAGCTTCGAACTAATCCATCCATTGACAAAATAACATACCACATCGGCATTCTTATCATAGATTCGAAGATCAAGTCCTGGGAGTTTCGCAGGGAGCAGCACGCCCGCAGTAATCCCTGCAAGACCCGCACCGATAATACCAACCTTGATGGGTCGCACCACATCAACAGGGTGCTCCTCTAATTCAAATCGGACATTCTCAATCTTCTCTGACAATCCGTTGATATCACTATCCACTGTTACAGTAGTAGGTCCATTCAGGTCTGAAGAACCTTTGATCGATTCTGAGGTAGGTCCGATATTCGACAAGGGAAGAGCCACCTCGGGGGATTGCACAAGAGTCATGATGGCTTGATATCTTCTCGTTTCTTGTGACAAGTCTTCAAACAATCACAAATCACAGCATAAAAATCTACCGCTGTCGTACTGAGTTGGATATTCTGGCATTCTTGTAGATACTTGCACCCCCGCGCGTCCTGCACGTCATGTGAAACGTTTTACACGTCACCTAATGCGAATTGCAATTCAGCATATCGAATCTGATAAACTGCTTCATTTGGAATATTGGAGTCGGATATGCGGCTATATTGTGATGTTCTGGGGACTGATTTGATGTCGCTAACACCATCGCGGTCCGTGATGACGTGCCGAGGGGGTTATCGTGAACACCATCATCTCCACTCGCCACGCCATTGCGGAGTTCGGTTGGAGTAAATGTTGGGGTGTAGTTTGTTTGAAATTGGGATGTCGCCATTTGATATCTCGGCCGATTAGAGCTCGTGGGGAATATTCCAAAAACCTGCCTATTCTGTATATGCCAGCGTATCCAAGATGGTCTTCCAAGTTCTGGAATAGAATATCAACTATATTCCTTATACGATTAAATGTATTTCTATGTCCGAATTCAAAGAAAGAGGTTAAAGCAAGACAAACGTCCGCCAAGTATGTATTAGCCTTCGCCATCCTGTATACTACGTTTTTCTTACTTGCTCCTTTTAGATAAAGCCCACCCACCAAGCCAAGTAATTAATTCACTAAATATTGCATGTATAGGACGAAAAGAATTAAAATGTACCAGCTGAATGAATTTCCTGAAAATAAATCTGTGGACCCCGACACTTTATCCTCTACCAGAGATCCTCGAGATACAGCAGTCACTGTCAAAAATCACAGTAAAGCCTGACAAAAATCGTCTGCTATCGAAGGTCCTCGCTTTAATCATAAGAGTACATCAAATCTAGGCAATCTCGGCCTCAATGACCATCTCGTACTGTTGGGGGTCAGGCCAAAAGTTGACAATCTTAAATCCAGCGTCGCTCAACAGCTTCGTCCAAGTCCCTTGTGTTCGCTCGGAAGCCGACAACAGCGACATCATCTCCACGTCCATTGTAGCCTGACTGATACTCGCTCCTGTTGGCGGAAGAACAATATCATAAACGAAAAGCTTGGAGTAGCCTTTGGTCATCGCGTCTTTGGTGTTCACAAGCAATTGCTTAGCCTTGTCCTCTGGCCAATCGTGAAGAACTGCGTGCATAAAGTATGCACGACTCCCTGTGGTTTGATTGTTAGTAAATAAACCGAAGTCTCTGTATCGGGATCGTTCTTACCCTTCACTGGCTGAGGTAAGAAGAAATCATGAACCATGGCTGTAATCTTCTTATCAACTTGAGCCTTGGCAATCACTTCGGGAAGATCTTGCAGGACTAGTGATCCAGCAGGAAGATCTGGGTGTTTTGCAAGAACGTGAGAAATGTCAATTCCAGTGTTACCACCAACATCAACCACGAACGGAGAGCCATCGTCCAACTTGGCACCCTCTAGCAGCTTTGTTGTATCGTAGACCTTAGTCCATGGGGTTTTCCATGCTGTCCAAGCCTCCATGTGGCCATTGAAGGCTTCAAAGCAAGCGGGGCTTTTCTGCAATCGTCCAAAGAAGTTGAGACCGTCGGGGTCACTGTCCGAGTGGTTATTCGCATTGACATCCGTGGGCTCTTGATACGATATCTTTGCTAGATAAGCTGGCAAATTATGGCCAGCCGAAAGGTATTGATTCGTTCTGAAACATCAAAGTGTTAGTATGATATTAGATCGACAGAATAGGGTACATGTATTCTTACGCTGCCTGAAGTGAGGCGCGGACCTTGGTGCTCTCGTCGCCGATAGCGTTCGAGAACGGAGTGGGTTTAAATCTGTCTTCCGCTGTCTCCTCAACCACATTGAAAGCAGCTAGTAAGCGGAACAATCGACCTGCATGTCTTTATGAGCCTTAGTGAATTAAAGTATAAATAGTATGAAGAGAAAGCTTACGCAGAAGGTTTGGATCAACAGTGGGAGTGGTAAATTCAACCAATTCGTCGATAGACTTCTCACCCCCAGCACCTGTCCAGGACTTCCAAAGGCCCAAGTCGATGCATGTCTGTAAAGCGGCAAAAACGACAGGCTGTTCGAAACAGAAGCCCCAGGCACGCTCATATGGTGTTTCCACCCTAGCAAGTAGACGACGTGCCGCAGCGCGTACCTTGAGACGTTCGACTTCGTTGCCGCCAAACACCCCAGGTTCAACAGCATCAAGGGAGCCAATGATTCTGTCGGTTTCAAACGGCAATTGATCTGCTGCATGAGCTTGGACGTGCTCTGCTCCATTACCGCTAAGCCATTTAGGCTTAGGGGCATCAAGAGCTGCAATGACTTCTGTTTGAGATGGCATGTTGCACTTCCAATTTTGGCCTAAACTTGAAGAATTGAGAAACTTGTAGTAGGCTCATGAGATAATAAGAAAATAATATCAATCAAATTGACGGTTCGAGCTACCTTATATGCGTGACCTGAGCCGTTGGAAATACACCAACCGTCGCGAGATGACCTCCAGGGCGTTTCCCTAGCCAAGGTCAATTCTCATCGGAATTACCTGGCTAGGGCAGATGTGCAAAGCTAACTTTGATTCAGGACTTGGACTTACCAGTATCTACAGTTCTCAGTCTAGATCCCCACTCGATTAGGTTCGTGACAGCTTACATTCTGAAGGGGATATCCACTTGTTTAACCACCTTTAGAAATGATCGCTGCATGCCACATCACTGCAAGGGACATAGCCGGGGAAATGCGAGTCACTGCTTCCAATGGAAAGGTTGTGCCAGAGCACAGATCTGTTAAAACCTTAAAACCATTGAACTTTTGTGTGGCCACCAGACACATCTCGTAGAATTAATATACTGCATACATTATATGATGATCTCAAGAATTACTTCGTATTTCGATTTTGGTAGATGATGTTTAGTAAACCTAACTAAGAGGCCCAACTTGTATACTTTAGTTGGGCGGCCAGATTGGAAACTTCATATGTCTCCTCAAATCCAAAATTTAGGCCTTTTAAACAGGGCATACATTTTACCGCATAGCCCAGCCAAATGGAAAGTCGCTGGAAGTGTTCTTCAATCCTCACCTCCCATTCATCCTATCACCATTCGGTTTCGCATATCAGCCTTCCTGATTGGGTCATCTATAGCGTGAAATTATTTTTCAATAACCTCCACGATTTGTGTGGTCCAGTCAGGGAGTTAACAGGAGGATATCATATTCCAGCTTGCGGATCCAGTTTCGCGGTATAGCGTGATCATTGGATATGAGTTTTCGAAATTGTGACAGAGAAATCCCAGGTTGCCCCTCTTCTTTGTGCCCATCGTTACTATATATGGCAAGGCTGGCGAAGATCAAAGGCTCAAAAGCCGCTGCCAGGAGCGACACATAGAAGTGTATGGAAACAGCAAAAGTTTATCACTTTGCAGTAGAGCTGCAATTTGTATCAACAATTCTAGTGGTAGTATGACAATCATTATGGTGGGGTCTCCACCAAATGTTATAGCTCATGACCCTGGATTAGATCCATAGGCTATATTTTTATAGCATATTATTCCCCTTGCGCGAAAAAGCGATGGTCAAAAGATCAAGATCGAATCAGCATGCAAAATAACAGATGAAAGGGAGGCAACCAATTTAGCGCAGTGCGGCATACCTGGGCGGCACGGGTGGCGGCTTGATTTCCCCGGGGCCCGTTTCTCAAGGCGATTTCATACTTCATGTCAGACATTCGAAAGGGCTTCATGTTACATAGATAGCTCATAAGATCGTCATCTTCATGATCGAATGTTAGGCCCTATTACGTATTATTAAGCCGAAATCAATGCCAATCTCAATTTAATATGGGTCTTCGATGAGACTTGATAGGGCTCAAAACTCAATAGTGTACCATTGCAGCGGATCATTGGCATAAACAAGACCGCAAGGGACAAGGCGGAAGGACTGGCGTACCTTTGCTCTCAGTCTTCAACAGAAATTGATGTATCTCAACGTATAGAACATAAGATAAAAATTCTATACTTATCTTGTTGTCTGGAGTAGCGTTGTGTCTACCACTCAACAATCCTTCTATCTTATCCTGAACCCGCGGTTATCTCGAATATGGGTGTGTACGGAGGTTTAGGGCCCATGACCAATGCGGTTCTCTGGGTGGAGGCTGTTGTATTTGCGATTTTCGTGGGGCTAAGGCTCTACACGCGAAAACACGTTCTCAACTCCGTCGGTCTTGATGATTATCTAGTTTTGACTGCACTGGTAAGAACAACAAACCGCAATACCGCCTTTGCTATGCAAGTTCTAACACACTGCAGGTTCTTCAAGTCCTTTACACGGCCTTTGTCACAGAAGCAACTCTTTACGGTCTCGGGCAACTATACGCTGATGTCGGTGATCCAGTTACCTATTTTACGGCTGTCAAGTATGAGCTATTCAGCCAGGTAGCTGGACTAATGGTCATTGGCGTGGGAAAAGCCACTGTTGGCGTATTCCTTCTTCGAATTGTGCGGAGCAAAGCCCAGGTCTGGTTTATCTGGGCTTGTCTTGCAATCACTGCTTTTATCACACTCTTTGCTAGCATTACGGTTATAGTGCAGTGTATTCCAATTGAGAAATCCTGGAACCCAACCACGCCAGGCTATTGTTGGCTCGACTTTTCCAAAGTTGGTTACACTGTTGGATGTGAGTGCCAAATTGCCCCCGATTTGTATACATGAATGCTAATCCTGGGGTTTTACAGCATGGTTTGTCGCCGCGGACTTCGCCTTTGCAATTCTTCCCTGGTTCATTGTCTGGGATCTCAATATGAAACAGAAGGAAAAGATCACCGTTGCCTGTGGTCTTAGTCTTGGAGTATTGTGAGTCTAGGAATACTCCACCCTCATTGAGTATTAATCTAACGAGCATGCCCTAGTGCTGGAGCATGCGGTATCATCCGCACCAAAGCCCTGTCAGGATTAAATGCATCGGAGTACATATGTACGTTCTCTGAATATTCTTTTCGTGACGGTATATCTGACTTAACAGTAGATGATACGGTACCAATGCTCATCTGGTCTGCCACTGAGAGCTGCGTCACGATCATGTGCTCGTCTATTCCCGTCCTCCGTCCCCTTTACATCCATGTCAGATACGGAGCGGATGGCAGGAGCAGCTCTTCTGGAGATACCTCCTATCGATTGCCACTTTATGGCAGTGGTCGGGGAAGGAGTACTTATTCAAAGGCCGGCCTTGAATCTTCAATCAACGAGCAGAGTACTCCTCACCACACCGGCGTCTTGAAAAATAGCGCACAGAACGCTAGCAATGAGAATATTCTTCAGGGTGCTGCAGGTATTGAAAGGACGGATGAGATCGCAGTTAGCTATGAGCAATTTGGTAAGAATGCCTAGGGAAGGGTGGATGGATGGATTCTGGTTTATTTCTCTCTTTCAGGGCATGATACAATGGCTTCTTGGCCTAAACCCATGTAATTTTAATGTCAAAATTTTGTTCTTTTTGGTGCTCTACACTTTCATTCCGTCTTCTCCGGAAAATAATTGTTGATTCGCCGAAATGTTGCCGCATGATTGTTTTATTAGACTGAGTGTCGTGATCCAAGTGCGGGCAGTTTAGCGCATGACTCAAATGACAAACCAGGAATAAGACTGCAATTTCTTCAACTACCACTATACAACATATTCATCTCAAGATACCATTCATTTCTTGGGACCCAACTGCACATACTTTCGAACATATCCCACCACCAACCACCCTGCCTTCTTCAGATCCGCCATGTCCTCTACCCCGCCAACAAGTGGACTCTCACCTAAAACATGGACACGAGAGACCAGCCGCGAATTCTTCATCTCAACCGAACCAAAGCTACTCTCCGTCAAAGCAGTCAATGCCGCATACGCTAGAGACTTCGTTTACTGGATCAAAAAGCCCTTTCCGGAGGAGGTGCTCTGGCAGATGCTCCACGGCGCCTTGAGTTTCGGCGTGTACAGGTGGACCGAACCTGTAGAGTCTGTAAACGATTCTACCATCCCATCTCCGGAGAACACTGAGCAGATTGGACTTGCTCGCGTGGTCACAGATGGTTGTTCATTTGTTTATCTGTCGGATACCTACGTTCTTCCCGAGTACCAAGGCAGCGGACTTGGGAAATGGCTTGTGGGTTGTGTTGCCGAGACCTTTTCTAAGGAGAACATGCCGTATTTACGTCGGATTATGTTGCTCACTGATGATGAGCGCACGCAGGCTTTCTACACGAATGTGTTTGGTGTGAAAGTTGTCGGGCGTGAAGAGCGAAAGGACATGGGGAGGGATTTGGTGTTTATGTGTGCGAGACCGCATGCACAGCCTTGATTAGATTGAAATGGATGTTCTAATTGGCACTTGGTATTTAAGCAAGGAAGCGAGACTTGTGGCTTTGGTAGGTCATATTTATCCTTCCACTTTCTACCACGGAAGTTGCAAAGGAGTCGACAGGTTCTTCCCAAGAACATCTTCTGCGGTGCCGATATCTCTGTCATGAATAAATTAGATGGTGTCTGATACTAATAGAATCAAATATCTTACTTTGGTCCTCCTGGCGCCCAGAATTCTCCGGTCTGCCTAAGATCGAATCCTTCAATGAAAGACGCAAGTGTTTTCGCTGCTTCGTCAGGCGTCACGGCTGTTTTTCAAAAGATATTGGATTAGATCTAGCATATTTCTGAGGCCTTTTTATAAGGCCTGTAATAGTAGTGTACTGGTCACTTACCTCCACCTGCATCCCAGTACTTATCGAACCCAACGCTCTTCGTCATCTCCGTCCGCATAAATCCGGGGTGCACTAGACCAACTGCAATCCCCTTCGGCTTCAAGTCTAGACTTAAAAGCTTCCCAACCATATTCAAAGCAGCCTTGCTGGCATGGTGGCCAAAGTTACCCCCGCCTTCCTTCTCGTGGCGCAATGTGATGCTGCCGCTCTCGCTGCTGATGAGAATTACTTTACTACCTTGATCCAACAACCCCGCCTTGACGAGATTGTGCACCACGAAGACGGGACCAATCGCAGAGGTCGTATACATTTGAACCTGCTTCTCCCAGTCGGGAGAATCAAATGTCTCAAAGCCAAAGTATCCGGCATTGACGATGACTGTTGAAAGCTTTGTAGATGGAAGCTGCGAAACAAGCTTTTGACCCACATCTGGCTGAGAGATATCAATTCCTGTCAGCCAGGTGACACCTGGGCTTGGCTCTGGGTTGGAGGACCGGGAGGTTGCAAACACATGGGTCGCTGTCTTTGCGGAGTACAATGTCCGCAGAGAGGCACCCAGTCCTCGAGTAGCACCTAGGATGAGAATATTGCTGGTCATTTTGTAAGTTGGGAGTAATATGCTTGAAGGTACTGAGTCTAGAAAGGTCAGTCTTTATATCTCCAGGGCTGCCTTGGGCACGCCATTGGGGGATGACGTAATTGCTGCCCAGGCCTAGCCCTGAAGACTAGCAAGGGTTCTATCCCCTGGCCAGTTTGTTCTGCACAACGTAGGTTACTTAGTCGATATGAAAACTTGTTTACTCCCTACATCATATTCTTATCAGATCATTCCCGACATTTAGGTGGAACTATGATATTTAACATCTCGGATGTTACTTTCGGAGACTTTGTCTAATCGATTTGGTCGACTTGATTTTATTCCACACGAGCCAAGCTTGACATGTCTCACCGGGGGTATCGCATTTAATTTGCACTCGGATGCTACAATGCCAGTCGACCTCTCAATGCATTCCGCGCCCAGACCTCGGGGGCATCGATGGCTTAGTCATGTGCTATTTATGGAGCCTAGTTAAGATTGCCCCCTTCAGTCAACCTGTTTTATCTCCATGAGCCCCGGCAAAGTGCGCCTCTCGTTGGGAGCCAGTCAATTCATGTGTTGCAGGGCTGAAGAATGACTGGCTTTGCCAAATTCGCCCTCTCCGTTCAAAAAGTCCGGGCTGCGATTCACAATAAGAGAAAAGCGGGTGCCAAGGACCAGCGCGGATCGTCTCTAAGGTGAGAGATATTTTGCGACAATTTGCGGAAATTCGCTGGCTCACCCCCTGTTAGAAATGACCTTGCAGATCTTCCAGCTTCCTCCCCATGGGATCTCCCCGTTGAGATTCAAATCCGCATATTCGCATATTCCGGCATCACCGACTTCCATCCGCTGAGACTCGTCTGCAAGGCTTTTTGCCAACTACTCACCAGGAATGAACATGAGATTGTTCGGCAGTATCTTCGCTTGCGTCGCCACGGTACCCTTCCATCGCCAATCGATGATGACCGCACTTATACTCGAAGCCCCAGCGACGATGTCGTGCTGTTATCGGATCTATTCCCACCGTCCAAAAGCGCCAGGGGCGGCCATCTCTATACCTTCAAATACTTGCATGGGCTGAGACGCAGGCAAATGCTCTGTTCAAGACTCTGTCACTACCTAGCAGATCGGATCCTTGATCGGTTCATTCAGACTGAACCGGCCGTCATGAAGGCCTCGTTTCCTGCAAAGCGAAATGAGCGTAACGCCCTTGTCAAACGTGGCATAGCTAGCATACGGTTCCACCTTGCACCACTCATGTAAGAACAGTGGAGAATCGCTTCACTCCAACAAGTTACTGACCTCTCCTCTACTTAGGTACTATACACTCTATTTCCTCGAATCATATGCGTCCGCCCGACGTGAGCACACGAACATGCTCGTACAAAAATACGAGGCGGGCCAGCTCCCTGTCCCGCTCCCACTCGAGGTGCGCCAGAGGATGTACCGCGAGCTACAAACCCGGATCCTCCAAAGCCCTCCCTTCACCAACACGTCGGCGTTGGTTGCGACACATCATTGCATGCATTTACTTGTTTCATATATACGCTACGCTATGTCGCCGGATAGACAAGCTGAGATCGATGACTCGTGGATTAGCTCGTTGCTCACATTGGCGCCGTTTGTGCGGATCGTCGAGTTTTTCTCTGCTGAGATCGGGGATGGTGGGAGCCAGCGAACACAACGCAAGGATTTTATGTACAACTTCTATCAGGACACGACGAAGTATGAAAAGGATCATATGAACTCGGTTGTTTTTGCGCGCGCGTCTGCGCAGAACTTGCATAGTTCAGTGCAAGATATCTGGTTTGCTGCTGCTGCGGCTGAATTGAAAGCCCGGCGAGCGATACCCCATGATGTAGAGCACGTCTGGGTCTGGAATGGCATTCCAATTGTTTTTGGGTGTCCGGATTGCCATCCCACGAGAGGATGGCAGGCATAATTTGTTGAGTTTAAGCGTTTTAAGTGTTGGCGGCGTCCGGCGTCTAGATTCTAATATTGGGGATATACTGGAGTTGGATAGATGAACATTTCAGCCAATTTCATTTGCATTCCATTTCATCATTTTTCTCTCTCTCTTCTCAGACTTAAATAAACGTACTGGTAGTTGTAGCTGAAGTGACTTGGGGAATTGATATATGTTTGCTTTGTTTGCAACTGGCACGCGTCGCTATGTACATCGCCAAGTATCAATCTTCCTCGACGACGATATGCTTCAATTGTAGCATAAGAATTAGCCGAGTTTATTGCAAACTCACACAATGAATGCCATGGAACAAGCAGACCCACGACAGTTGTTTAACACTTCTTGGACTATCCATCGTCTGTCCCCTCTCCATCATGGGAAGGATTGTGAAACCCTCCTAGACAACCAGATCGCCTTGAAAACATATTCAACGCGTCTCCGTGACCATCTCACAGGCGATGTCCTCGCTGGTATCCATGCAAGCACTGGTGCAGCAGACGATGACACACTCTCCAAGACGGGCGCCCTAAAAGATTGTCTATGGCGGTCAATATCTCCTCAATCATTGCGCGGTGAAGCGCCAAGCAGATCCCAGAAAACCACATTTCCTGGAATTCTAGTAACGCTAGAATATGAAAACATCGTCTACAAAGCAATTTTGCTGGCAGACACACAATCATCCACAAGTCAACGCACGGGGTCCACATCTCTCCCTCTCCTCCTAACTAGATTCCCAACTGCGCTCCGGCAAACATTCATCACTTTCTTATCTACCAATTTCGATACTTACTGCTCGCCACTCCGACTGCCGTCGAGCTTTCTCTGTGCGGGTCTAGAGACGTACGTCGATACCCTGCGCACTCAACAGCCAAGTACAAGCGACACAGTCGAAGATGTTATCAAGGAGTTACAGCTCACGCTCTCCTTTTCATCATCCATCGCACCAGCGCTGAGATCCCTCAATATCAGCGTCGCGCGCGCTTCGCTAGCGGGTTTCCTGCGCGATCAGCCTGGACAGTCGGCGCCGAAGTCACGCAGTCTTCAGCACAAACTGCGCAGCCCTTTCATTGCCAATCTTACTTCGTACCTTGAGACGCATCTTGCCATGAAGCTGGATCTGGATGGGTCGTCCTCGAACCAGGCTGCTAAGCAGCATGTGCGACTCTCGAAGGTTGCCTGTGCTGCTTTCGTTTTGGGCGGTGAAGGACGTGTGAAGCTGGTTGTGGCTGCTGATAGGGATGCCGGGGATGGGGATGAGGGCTCTCGAGTTCGAGCGGAAAAGGATGAACTTGCTTTGGAGGCAGCGGAGTCGCTTCTACGGTCGGTGATCCGCAAGGCGGTTGTGGAGGATCATATGGCTACGTGAACTTCTGGGTGTTTTTCTGTACCAGTGTGAAGCTGGGACACGTTACAATATCTTTGGAGCTCGGAACGAGCTAAAATCCTGCAATGCAAATCCATCAGCATGACCTGCCTGGATCCACGGAGCTCATATCTTGGCTGTTGGGCCATTCAATCCACGACTACCCAACCAAGAAAACCGAGACAGCTAAATTACAGCTGCTAGCGTCGCGCTTTGGCCCAGTGTTTCATCACTCTAGTACTGCGCATACTGCAACGCTAGCTTTCATCGTCAAGATGGCACGCTCAGAAGACCCGATCGTGGTGCATAGCAAAGCACAAGGGTTTACTTCAGTTCTCATTGAATCCAAGAAAACCAATGGTATTTATTGGGTTAGAAATGATTGGTCATTTCCTGTGTCTTCTAGATATATGTTGTTGCACTATGACAAAAAGTCAAATAGTTTAACATTTTTGATTATTCTAAGACGACCAAAATGAAATATGTCCGTACAAGATATTCACACCATACCCAACCACGTGTCACCAATCTCAATACGATATACACTATATCTCCTGCGTCTGATTCTCAGACTCCGCCAACCGCAGCGCCTCATCAACACTGGGCACGAAATGAGTCAACCCACCACACGACTCAACAATACCACTCCGCTCAAACATGCGGAACACACTACTATTCGGTAAACGGCAGAAAAACACTCGGACACGTTGCTCCGCATACGCATGCACAATCTCCGAGAGCACCTGGGTACCAGACCCGTCGATACTTGTAACGCCATGAACATCGAAAATGATATTCTTGTTATGCTCCGGCGCGCGCATGCGCGGCAAGGAAGGGTGGGCATGAGTAGAGCCGTAGAGTTCCAGACGCCGCAAACGGTTCTTGAGGTCGCCTGTGTTGGCAAAGGTGAGGGGTTCGGGGATCTTGACGATCAGGGCGCCTTCGACTAGCTCCACGTTTTCTGGGTGGAGCTCGGCGTTGTCAAAACGCGCGTCTGTACCGAGAACCTTGCCCATGATCTGGATTCGGGGGGCTGTTGCGTGTCGGATGAGAATTATCACCGACAGTCCCATTCCCATCGCCATGCCAAGTTCCAGGGAGTAGAAGATGGTTGTCGTGAAGATGAGGAACATCAGGACGAGCTCCGACCAGCCCCGTAGGCGGAAGAAGAAGAGTAGGTCATGCGGGCATTCTTCCACTAGAGTGAAGGCTACCACGGAGATCATGGAGCACAGGACTGCTTTCTATTGGGGAATTAGCATGGCCGGCCCTTGGAAAAGGTACATCGGTACAGTATAGGTTTGAGAGGGACGCACCGGGAGGTAGTAGAGATAAGGCAAAAGCACCAGGACACATATGAATGTGATAATGCTCACAAAAACACTAGTCATAGGTGACCGTGCACCTGTCTGCGAGCTAAGCTTGCTTCGCCCGTATCCACCAAATGCAGGCAGAGCCGAGAAGCAACCTCCAATGACATTGGCGACACCTAGTGCAACCATCTCACGATTGGCACTCATGTGCATTCCCTTGATTCCCTCAGAACTGCCTTCGCCCAGCCCCTTGGCGGCAACAGATGACTCAAAGAACCCAAGTAGCGCGATAATAAAGGATTTGCTCAATGCTGTGCGAACATGTTTCATATTCGCAGGCTGGAAAGGCCAATTGAAAGCGAATAGTCCCCCAGAGGCGACCTCTGTATGTCCAAGAATTTCGAGGCCTTTGGATTCCCAGTCGAGGTGCCAAGCCAGAACTGCCGACAGGGCAACAACCAGGAACCGGTCTGGGAAATAAATTACCTGGGGAATACGAGGCACAAGCATCTTTTTCAAAGTTCTTCGGAGTATCAGTATGATGATTATAAACCCGGGGCCGCGGTACGTACCTGAACATTATGATGACAGAAAAGCTGACGATCGAAACGATAGCAGTTAGTCCATGGCACTCTCGAGCGTATCGGAAGATGAAAATCAGTTTTTCAACACTAGTGCCATGGCTGACACCGGTTTCTTTGGCATACTCGGCCAGACCCAGTTCTGGGACAAGCTGGTCTACAAAAATCACAAAGCCGATGGCAGTGATGAATCCTCTCAAGAATGGTCGACTGAGCACGTTATCCAAGAATCCTAGGCGGGTCAGTCCGGCAATCAGTATCATGCCGCCGGACAGAGCAGTAGCCACTCCTACTATAAGAGCGGTTTCTGTAGGGTCATCCTCGCCCGAGTTTCCTTGCATAACACTTGCTTTGACAATAGCACCCGTTAGCAGAGAACCCGCGGCCTCCGGGCCAACTACCAAGAGAGGGCAGCTTCCTAGAATGGCATAGACCAAAGGATGAATGACGAAAGAGTAGAGGCCGCTGATGGGTGGTGCATGAGCAAGATTGGAGGCCAAAGAGAGGGCCATCGGGATGTAGATCGACGCCACGGTCAACGCAGCCATAAGATCTCCGCGCAGTAATGACCAACGATATTGTCCAATCCAATTGAAAAAGGGAATATAATAAGATATGTATCTGCCATTGATTCGTCAGTTACCCTTCTTGACGCGGGCTACGAATGTGCTCGCAGTACATGAATAAGATACGACCTACTGCTTATTCGTCTCGGTAATTGGAAAGGTGAAAGATGATTTCATCTGTGACGGAGTCTCTGAATCTGGGACTGACTCCGGGTGGTCTACTACACCTCCAGGGTGGCCGACCGCGCCGTCCACCAATTCATGTCCGTTATATCCAAATGCATCGCCCGGGCCTCCAATGTATGATTGCCTCCCCACATCTTCTACTCGGGGCGAGAATGTGCCATGGCTGCAGCGCCTTTCACCGCATGCAGGATCGGCCTGGAGGTATGATTCCAGAAGTCGAGTTCTCATGTCTGGTTCCCTGGTAACTCCAATACGGGGTTGGCTTTCCTGTGCAGTTTGATTGTCATGGCTTGAACTTGTCGAAATCCCAAGACCTGTTTGAGGCGATGAACGGAAAGCGTCGACAATCCGGTCTCGTAGAGTCCGACGTCCGAGTCCGTCGGACTCCCCAGGGAGTAATGAACTTGTCTCAGACATGATCTTTTAGTAAAAGACACCCGAGGAATGTTAGGCTAAAGAGTTAGACACCAGGTAGCACGCCATAAATTCTGGCCATAAAATTGAAGAATTAAAGGAATTTATAAATGAGAGACAAGCCTAGCTTGAATTGTTTTTGTCGGTCAGGCAAGGGCCAAGTGCGCGGCGCGCTAGGGGACTGATAAGCGGGGAAAGCAAGCGTTATCGTGAATTCAACGCTGATCCTCGGAGAATGACTGTGCAATGAAGATAAGGAGCATGGTAAGCATGATCTCAGGAAATTCTCTGATTCGTAGAAAGATCAGATGCCATCGAATACCGAAATGTATACAAGGAACATTTCCGTCTGCCGGTTGATTTCCGTTGACGTAATTGATTGATGTGTCAGCCAAGACCAAACCCCCGGCCGTGGACATTTGAAGGCGGTGTGAAGAATAATCACGTGCCATTTAGTCCCGTGACTGATCAGGTCAATGTGGGTTTTGAAGTCCGCCACAAAGAGATAGATTGTGCCTCATTCGCGTCGCCTCTCCTCTCTGTGCTCCTGTATTCCTGACTTTACGATCCCTGATATCCCGTTGGCCACCATATCGATCGTCTCGATTGTGCCATCAAATCCGTCTCTTTCGCACCTAAGATTTCCCCGAGAAAAAAAAACAGAACCCCGCCAAGATGTCTTTAACAAACTGTCGGTTCTATGAGGACAAGTACCCGGAGGTGGATAGCTTCGTCATGGTGAATGTCAAGCAGGTACGGATCAACTGAATCATCGACTGAGAGGCCAAAGCGACAGGGACTAATTTTTTGTGTGAGCGAGATAGATCGCCGAGATGGGCGCATACGTGAAGCTGCTTGAATATGACAACATCGACGGCATGATCCTCCTCTCAGAACTCTCTCGCAGACGTATTCGCAGTATCCAAAAGCTCATCCGTATTGGGCGTAACGAGGTCGTCATCGTGCTTCGTGTCGACAAAGAGAAAGGCAAGGCTACATCATTCGCCTGGAAGAACCCGAGAACTAACTTGTCAACTTGAAGGTTACATTGATCTGTCGAAGCGACGTGTCTCTCCCGAGGATGTCATCAAGTGCGAGGAACGTTACAACAAGAGCAAGGCAGTGCACTCTATCATGCGCCACGTCGCAGAGGCAACTCAGACCCCCCTCGAGACCCTATACGAGAACATCGGGTGGCCTTTGAACCAGAAATACGGCCACGCGCACGATGCCTTCAAGATCTCCATTACGTATGTTCTTGTGCTTTTTGTCTCATGATATGAGAGCATTCCTCTGACAGTTGATTTCCAGGAACCCCAACGTCTGGGATGAGATCACCTTCCCTAGCGATGCCGTCAAGAGTGAGCTGCAGCAATACATCAGCAGCAAGCTGACCCCCCACCCTACCAAGGTCCGTGCCGATATCGAGGTTACCTGCTTCGGTTACGATGGAATCGATGCTGTCAAGGATGCCCTCCGTACTGCTGAGGCCGACAACACCCCTGAGAACCAGATCAAGGTTAGACTGGTGGCTCCTCCTCTTTACGTCCTGGCCAGCCAGTGTCTCGATAAGACACTCGGTGTTAAGTTGCTTGAGGAGGCCATTGTCAAGATCGAAGAGCGTATCAAGGCAAACGGCGGTAGCTGCACCGTGAAGATGGCACCCAAAGCCGTTACCGAGCACGACGATGCGATCCTGCAGGAGCTTATGGAGAAGCGCGAGCGTGAGAACACCCAGGTCAGCGGAGATGAGGACTCTGAGAGTGATGAGGGTGTTCCCGAGTAAATACCGGGTCATAACTCCGAGTCGAGGGGCATACAGCGGTCATCAGCGCTAGAATCCAAATCTGGGATCACCGCTAGAGGAGAGTTGGGCAAAAATGGATAGAAAAAAGCTTGCACATATCGGAGAAAGGCTCAATGGCTCAGTGTGCTGATGGGCAGGATTGCAGTCAGAACTCGCCCTTTAGCTAGGGCAGTCGCCTAAACTTCGGGTCTGAGGATGATTTATCCATGCCTGTGCATGTGCTGCATGCCAATTGCGGTCGAAATCCTCATGCCCACCGTCTGTCAAAGACGCTGGGTCCGCACAGGGTGCAAGCTCTAATGCACATAATGTTTGCGATGCAACCGAGACGTTCAATGCCAGTCATGCTTTTAAATGCAAATCGTACCCTTGTAGTGACTACCATATGTATTTACATATAGATATATGAATCCATCCTATGAATTCCGATCAAATGGCCCATTAAATGGAGGTGAGCTAAAGCTTATCTACCGCCGATCATCATTGGTGCCCCCTCAAGCCAAAAACCCTTAGTGGGCCGAACTCTCCCTTTTCCCTTCTTTTCACTCTTCCATTCATTTTTGAATATTCTACGCGAAATGGGACATTGGAGAAACATCTTTACGGCCGATCCTGGTAGGACCCGACACCGCGTCGAGGTGGAACGTCGTCGACGTACGTCATTCCTAAACACGGGCTGTGGAACACAGCTAACAAGTCGCAGTGCTACCGGCCTATGCTGCCGATGAGTCTGACGCATCTGGTGCTTCAAAGGAAATTGCCAAGGTTGCTCTTCGGTTGAAGTATCAAATTGAGCAGGTTGTCTCCTGCGAAGTGCAAGAGAATGTCTTGACCGACCCAAACAGCCGCATCATCACGGACGATGTGGTTGAGACTGCCAAAAAGGCTGGTGGGGACGAATACAAAGCATGCGTTGTTTATTGTCTTCTGGTCTGTCTGCGATGGTTCAAGATTCAGTCCTCTGTCGAGCTTTGGGATTCCGATCTTCACGAGGTTCGGGCTGTGGCTTGCGAGGTCATCGCCAAGCGCATGTAATGTCCCTCTGCTATTTCGGGCTTTCTACTATTTACTCACTAACTTAAACAGTATCGAATCCGAGCAGAATCAAGATTACGTACTGAAAGATATTTTACTCAAGCGTTACTCTATCTTCAGTGAAGGGGTGGAGACTGATCCCGCCAATGTCATTGAAAGAGCGGTAGATCTCCATGCCTTGAGGGTTATCAGCTCTGCCCCGTACCAGAGATGCATCCAGTACCTGTGGAGGGGTTGGATCTGTCAGGAAGAAGGCAACCCAACTAACTTTGTCGAATACAGTGAGAAGTCTAACACCGGATATTGGGTTCATTTCCATCCTGATCGGATGCGGACTCCTCTGTATCAGAATGTCTGCCAAATTTTGTTCTCCTTGATTTACCTTGCGATTTATACGGCAGTTATCAATACCGTGAACCCAACCGGTGACGTGGATGTGGCCGAGGCCTTTCTTTACGGTATGACCCTTGCGTTCATCTGCGACGAGGGGGTCAAGTTTTGGAAGGTTGGATGGAACTACCTCGAATTCTGGAATGCCTTCAACTCAACCCTCTACGCCATCCTAGCGGTTTCACTTATCTTCCGCTTTATTGCCTTGGCACACTCATCCTCGACCCACGATGAACAACGGCGGCTGTACAACGAGCTCAGCTACAACTTCCTGGCTTTTGCAGGTCCTATGTTTTGGATGCGCATGATGCTATATCTTGACTCGTTCCGCTTCTTCGGTGCTATGTTTGTGGTTCTTCGAGTCATGATGAAGGAGAGCTTGATATTCTTTGCTCTCTTATTTGTGGTTATGGCTGGTTTCTTCCAGGCCTTCGTCGGGATGGCCCAAGTGGATGCCGACATCCCCCTCCACCGAAATATTCTCCAGGGAATGGTCAACAGTATAATGCAGAGTCCTGAGTTCGACACTTTCCAGGATTTCGCATTTCCCTTTGGCATCATCCTCTACTATGTTTTCAACTTCATTGTTATGACTGGTAAGTTTGCGTTCGACTTTTTTAGGGCGATACTAACAATTGTCAGTTTTGTTGAATATTCTTATCGCCTTGTACAACAGCGCATATGAAGATATCTCTGGCAACGCCACGGACGAGTACATGGCCATCTTCGCGCAAAAAACCATGCAGTTCGTCCGCGCTCCAGATGAGAATGTCTTCATCCCGCGTACGTATTCCCTCAATTTTGATAGTATAAATATGGCTAATTTTCTCTGGGTACTAGCCTTCAACCTTGTTGAGATTCTGTTTCTGATAGCCCCATTCGAATGGTGGCTTTCACGGGAGGCCTATGCCAAGCTGAATGATCTTGTAATGGGTGTGATATATTCGCCTCTGCTTGTCGTTGCAGCCTGGGTTGAGACCCGTCAAGCGCACCGGATTCGGTGGAATCGTCGCCATGGCGAAGAAGACGATGATTGTGCTCAAGAATGGGAGCATGTGGCTAAGGATGTCAATTTTGATCTTGACGATACTTGGAAACAGCATGTGGTAGAGACCACGCCCGATATCAAGGTTGATAGTTGTACATATGAACTTAGAGAGCTGCAGGAGCAGGTTAAGATGCTGACTGAGATGGTGAAAGGGTTGACTCAGGAGATAGCGAACAAGAAGGTGGATGGAGCAAATTAGGGAACCCCGAGACATGTTATATATCGGCACGCTACAAACGACCGACCAAACAAGCAACAACAGCGTGTCGCTTCGACATTAGGACATTACAAATATGTACTGTAATGATACCTAATTGAGGGTGAATTTGTTATTGTCTCCTGGCACAAGTATGTATGGTGTCATCCAACCTCTATGCCCAAACATTTTCTCCTCCAAGAATATAGCACCACTTTAGAATTAGCTCTATAACATAATAGACCAAAAAGAAAAGAGCAAAAAAAGAAATCTCAGGTTTGGTTTTTAGGAATAGCCGAACGCGGGGGTCGAACCCGCAGCCTTAAGATTAAGAGTCTTACGCTCTACCGATTGAGCTAGCCCGGCTGGGCTGTTGAAAGAGGCTGCCATATAATGCTATATCAGCCTGAGGCGGTCGGGCCAGGCTGACATAATGCTAGCGTGTCGAGCGGCGAATCCTCTGGAACCAAAATTGCAAGGTGGAAGGTGGCTTCATCTACGAATCTGGGCATTTTCTCGATTGGATCTTATCATTGCTTTCCGGCTTCGTATGAGTCTTTAATTTTCTGGTTGTTTGACTCTGACCGCGGTCACTAGATTGCCACCATGTGCGTTACAGAACCTCCCCCCGGTCCTTTGCGGCTGCAGCTAACAGTATACAGGGCAAAGCTCGTGGACGACCCTCAGATCCATACTGCCTCGTTGCATAACCCGATCCCTTGGCAATTGCACACATATGTCTGGCCTTTCGTGATCATCTGGCCCGTGTTCTTCGCTTTCTACCTCTCCCCCGAGCGTTATGATACCTATATTCAGGGACAGGAGTGGACCTTCGTGTTCGCGGGGTCCATCATCACCATTCAGTCGCTCTTTTGGCTGATGACCAAGTGGAACATTGATATCCACACCCTATTCACTACCACTCGCGCCAAGTCTATCGACACTGCCCGGCTTATCAAAGTTGTTCCCATCACTAACGCTGGCTCTGCCGAGATTTGCAAATTGATTTATGAGACCACCGGCCCGAAGAAGACCCTTTCGTTCCTCTTCCAGAAGCGCCGCTTCCTCTTTTACCCCGAGACCCGCACCTTTGCACCCTTATCTTACGTCCTTGATGCCGAACCAAAGCCGGCCCTTGAGACTTTCCAATTGAACGAGGGCTTCACGTCCAAGGCCGAGATTGACCGCATCTACCACCACTATGGCGATAACACCTTTGATATTCCCGTTCCTGGCTTCCTTGAGCTCTTCCAGGAGCACGCTGTCGCGCCGTTCTTTGTCTTCCAGATTTTCTGTGTTGGATTGTGGATGTTGGATGAATACTGGTACTACTCGCTCTTCACGCTCTTTATGCTCGTCATGTTTGAAAGCACCGTTGTGTGGCAGCGCCAGAGGACCTTGAGTGAGTTCCGCGGAATGAGCATCAAGCCTTACGACGTTTGGGTATACCGTGAACGGAAATGGCAGGAGATCACCAGCGATAAGCTTCTTCCCGGTGATTTAATGTCAGTGAACCGCACCAAGGAGGATAGTGGCGTTGCCTGCGATATTCTTCTAGTTGAAGGCAGTGTCATTGTGAACGAGGCCATGCTTTCTGGCGAGAGTACACCTCTTTTGAAAGACTCCGTCCAGCTCCGTCCTGGCGCTGACTTGATTGAACCGGATGGATTGGATAAGCTCTCGTTTGTGCATGGAGGTACCAAGGTCCTCCAAGTTACTCACCCTAATCTCACTGCCGACTCGGGTTTGAAGAACTTGTCCAGCAACGTTACTATGCCCCCAGACAATGGTGCTTTAGGTGTGGTTGTTAAGACCGGTTTCGAAACCAGCCAGGGTAGCCTCGTCCGGACCATGATCTACTCGACTGAACGCGTCTCTGCCAACAACGTTGAAGCTCTATTGTTTATCCTCTTCCTTCTTATTTTCGCAATTGCCGCTTCATGGTATGTGTGGCAAGAGGGTGTGATCCGGGACCGCAAACGCTCCAAGCTTCTACTTGACTGTGTCCTTATTATCACTAGTGTTGTTCCCCCTGAACTGCCTATGGAACTGAGCTTGGCCGTCAACACTAGTCTTGCTGCTTTGAGCAAGTATGCCATTTTCTGCACTGAGCCTTTCCGTATCCCCTTCGCTGGTCGTGTTGACATCGCTTGCTTCGACAAGACTGGTACCCTGACTGGAGAGGACCTTGTTGTTGATGGTATTGCTGGACTCACTTTGGGTCAGGCTGATTCGAAGGTTGAAGCTGATGGTGCCCACACTGAATTGGCTACTTCCGCTGCTGTTGGACCCGACACCACGCTCGTTCTCGCCAGTGCTCACGCCTTGGTGAAGCTGGATGAGGGTGAGGTCGTCGGTGACCCCATGGAAAAGGCTACTTTGGAATGGCTTGGCTGGACTCTGGGCAAGAACGATACCCTGTCTTCTAAGGGCAACGCTCCCGTTGTCTCCGGTCGCAACGTCGAGTCTGTTCAAATCAAGAGAAGATTCCAGTTCTCCTCAGCCCTGAAACGCCAGAGTACTATCGCCACCGTTACAACCAATGACCGCAAGACTTCCAAGAAGGTCAAGTCCACGTTTGTGGGTGTCAAGGGTGCCCCCGAGACCATCAACTCTATGCTGGTCAACACACCGCCCAACTACGAAGAAACCTACAAGCACTTCACCCGCAATGGTGCTCGTGTGCTTGCTCTTGCATACAAATACCTTTCATCTGAATCCGAGCTTTCCCAGGGCCGCGTCAACAACTACGTCCGCGAAGAGGTTGAATCCGAGCTGATCTTTGCTGGTTTCCTTGTCCTGCAGTGCCCCCTGAAGGATGATGCCATCAAGTCTGTCCGCATGCTGAATGAAAGCAGCCACCGTGTTGTCATGATCACTGGTGATAACCCGTTGACCGCTGTTCACGTCGCACGCAAGGTTGAGATTGTTGACCGTGAGGTTTTCATCCTTGATGCCCCCGAACACGACAACTCTGGAACTAGGATTGTCTGGCGTACCGTTGACGATAAGCTCAATATCGATGTCGATCCCACTAAGCCTCTCGACCCAGAGATTCTGAAGACTAAGGACATCTGTATCACTGGATATGCCCTGGCAAAGTTCAAGGACCAGAAGGCTCTCCCTGATCTGCTCCGTCACACCTGGGTTTATGCTCGTGTGTCTCCCAAGCAAAAGGAAGACATTCTTCTCGGTCTCAAGGACGCTGGATACACCACTCTGATGTGCGGTGATGGCACCAACGATGTTGGTGCTCTGAAGCAGGCTCACGTCGGTGTTGCGCTTCTGAACGGCTCGCAAGATGATCTAACTAGGATCGCTGAACACTATCGGACCACCAAGATGAAAGAACTGTACGAGAAGCAGGTCAGCATGATGCAAAGATTCAACCAGCCCGCCCCTCCAGTTCCTGTTCAGATCGCTCACCTGTACCCCCCCGGTCCTTCCAACCCACACTACGAGAAGGCTATGGAACGGGAGTCGCAGCGCAAGGGTGCCGCGATTACCGCTCCTGGCGCAACCCCCGAAGCTATCCCAACTATCACGTCTCCTGGCGCTCAGGCCTTGCAGGAATCAAACTTGACCCCCCAGCAGCAGAAACAGCAGAAGGCCCAGGCTGCCGCAGCTGGCCTTGCAGACAAGCTTACAGCTTCTATGATGGAACAGGAGCTGGATGACAGTGAGCCTCCCACTATCAAGTTGGGTGATGCTTCAGTCGCTGCTCCCTTCACCAGCAAGTTGGCCAACGTTATTGCTATCCCGAATATTCTTCGTCAAGGTCGTTGCACCCTAGTTGCGACTATTCAGATGTACAAGATTCTTGCTTTGAACTGCTTGATCAGTGCCTACAGTCTGAGTGTCATCTACCTGGATGGTATTAAGTTCGGTGATGGACAGGTCACCATCAGCGGTATGCTGATGAGTGTCTGCTTCCTTTCTATTTCCCGCGCTAAGGTATGTCGTACTCGTTCATGTTGACAAAATGTTTTACTAATGTTTTGTGTGAAGTCTGTCGAGGGTCTGTCTAAGGAGCGCCCCCAGCCGAATATCTTCAACGTCTACATCATTGGATCTGTTCTTGGACAATTTGCTATCCACATTGCGACTTTGATCTACCTCTCGAACTATGTCTACAAGCACGAGCCGTACGTTATGATGACTTCCTTTAATTTGTCCCACTTCATGACTAACACAACCGACAGGAGAGATTCCGATATTGACCTGGAGGGCGAGTTTGAGCCTTCCCTCCTGAACAGTGCCATCTACCTCCTTCAGCTGATCCAGCAAATCTCCACCTTCTCTATCAACTACCAAGGTCGTCCCTTCCGCGAGTCTATCCGCGAGAACAAGGGCATGTACTGGGGTCTTATCGCCGCATCGGGTGTTGCATTCTCCTGCGCCACCGAGTTCATTCCTGAGCTGAATGAGAAGCTGCGCCTTGTTCCCTTCACCAATGAGTTCAAGGTGACTCTGACCGTGCTGATGATCTTCGATTACGGTGGCTGCTGGTTGATTGAGAATGTTCTCAAGCACTTCTTCAGTGACTTCCGTCCTAAGGACATTGCTCTTCGTCGTCCCGACCAGCTTAAGCGCGAGGCGGACCGTAAGTTGCAAGAGCAAGTCGATGCTGAGGCTCAGAAGGAGCTGGAAAGAAAGGTTTAGTTTGGTGGTTTGAAGATTTGTATCTGTATACATAGAGAGGAGGTTGTTGGATTTTTAGAAATGTTCATGTGATGCATGACATTTAATACATGTTTTTGCTTTTTATCGAAATAATCTAGCAAGTACAAATGTTTTTTCTTTCATTTTTGGTTTGAATGGCTACTGCTACTCCGTTATGTCCAGGCGCCTTGGCCGACTTGCGAGTCAGTACCTACAACATACGTAGATATCACCCTGCATCTCCATCACCCCTAGTGTGTTTGACATGTCACCACTAACCAGGATCACAACAGTAGACCTGTCTCTTTCGTATAGAACATATTGTACATTGCATAACGTCGGCGATTATCCGGCTTTTTATAGAGTTCGGGTACTCCGTAGTGCCCGAAATGATCGACAAGTCCACCCCTGTAAACCCTTATCTTATTTGGGACTATACAGCGTAGGTACACGTGTTCATGTAAATGAACTTGATGCACGAGATAGGTCATATGAACCAAGACAGATGACGATTACTACAATGTTTTAGTCAAGAAAGAATAAACCGCATATTCCGCATGATAGGGTCTCAGAATCTGTACTAGGTAGTCAATCCAATCATTTTGCCATCTCCACACATTGAGAGCCTTTGAAAATTCCCAGTATTCAGGATACTAGCCACTTAACTCCCAATCTACAATCCCGCTGACAGATCCATCGTTGACCAAAATATTCCGGTGGCGTAGTTCTCCGTGGGTGAACACAACGTGGTGTTTGTTTTGGGACAGCATACCATACAAGAAATTCTTGATATGAAGTTTTGGTGCTGTGGATTGATAGGCATCAGCAATTGTGTTATTAAAGGCTTCTTTGGAGTCGAACGGTCCTGGAAATGTGTATTAGCACTCATGTATATATAATATCAGCGCAGTCACTACTAACCTCTGACATGGTAAGTCTCCAAGATCGGATCGGTAACGGGGCCAGAATCAGCCGAGCCTATATAGTTACCGTTGGGAATACTGCGAATTTCGCGGAGATATTCCTTGAGCTGGTTGGGGACATGGACTTTCGTATCCTCATCATAAGTTTCCCAGACCATATCGAGAGTCTGACCCTCCACAAAACTCATGAACATGTAAGTATCAAAGAGGCTACCGTAATCTTTGATATCTCGGTGTATCGGGCCGTAAGAGTAGCAAGCGAATATTTTCGGCACTGGGAGAGTTTCCGTATTTTGTCCTACAAAGCTCATGTTTTTCGCCTCGCTCAATGTGGCATGGAATCCAAATTTGACGAAAATTTCAGGTGATATTCTTGCTATCTTCACGCCGCCCCAGTGAAAGATGGTGTTGTCGGGGTTGACCATTTCATTGACACTATCTGGGCTAGGTACAGCGATATCGGGAACCGAGAGAAGAATGTTCATCTGTGGTCACTAACTTCGTGGAGCACCATGACACTGTATAACAGATAAACATATACGATGGATTCTGTTCGAAAAGCTATGGTGGGAAATGCTGCTAAACATATCAAGAAGGATCATCCCCAGCTAGGATAGCACAATCCAGAAAAGAAAAACAAAAAAAAAAGCACCAGCTCACAGTTCAGAGTCAATCGACTCCCACTAGCAAGATTGATTACCAAACTTGGGCTGAAGCAAGTTCCTCTCGCTTGAGGAATGGTGGGATCCCAACGATAAGCGCAGCAGAGGAAAACAATGTGCCAATAGAGGCTTCGTTACCATAGGCCACGTAGGAAAAGTCCATCTCCTGATGTTTCTCGGAGTCAATCCACGCAATTCCCGGCAAATACTCAACGTTTCGAGTGCTGCTTATGATCTGTCATTTATCAGCTAGATATCCATGGCGCAACTATTCACACTTACGTCGCTGATTTCCATTTGTTCGCCCTCATCCGTGGCAATGTAGCGTTCCAGCTTTCCAAGTAGGCGACCTCAGGTAGAATCATCAGATCCCACATCGAGGTTGTTCTTCCTTGCAAAGTGGGCAAGATTGTGAATATTCTCCAAGCGGCGAGAAAATAGAAGAAATTTCCAGTATGTGTCTAGATTGGAAGAGCCAAGAGGAGCCGATGAAAGGAAGGTCGACCATGCTTCTGTGAGGAAGTTGCTCCTATTATAGCTTTTATATAGAGGTATGCGTCCATAATAATCTGCGCTTAGGTCTTCTATCACAGGACGAACCTCAACATGCATGCCTAGGTCTTTGAGAACAGAGGAGAGCTCAAGATCAGCGCCCTTGAGCGCCTTCGGCAGTAGTGCCTTGACCTCGGGAGATGTATGCGGATAGGAATGGGAGCAATAGATACCAAGAATACCGCCTAGTAATGGTTAGCCTCCCATAGAGTGTTGTGTTGTTAGGAGACTATACCCATTTTCATAAACTTGGGATCAATAAAACGCTTTTCAAGAACCCATGTAGAGACAAGCTCTCGGGGTTAACAATTGACTTTGGTGGAATAGATCCTCCTATCGGGTCAGTCACATACAAGTTGTATGTCAAAGTAATCCGTTCTCCTTCTGTGATAGTTTTGATCTCGTGCTCACAGTCGCTGTTGAGTGCAGCCCACTGAATCGTGTTTTCGCTTTTCTGACTCCAGTCGAAGTCGACCTCTTTGCCCTTGTGTTGAACAACCAAATTACCACCATTGAATGGCGATGGCAAGCAGACAACGAGCGGCCCAATCTGACTCTCAGATCGGGGCGTGTCGACATGCTTCTTGAAAAGCCCAGATGGACCAGAGTATACCTATCACAATTAATATAAAATCAATACCGCCATATAGGAGAATCAGCATACATTCAGTTTGTACAACTCAGCCTTCAACTTCCGGAACGGTAGACGGTCCTCTTCCGCGGTGTTGAACCTTGGGAGTAGGATCTGCTCCACATTGTCAAGGATTCCGAAGGCTGATAGGTCGAAATTGGTCGCGAATTGTTTGAGGTCAAGTTTTCCTGCTTTGCGATACCCAGGATCAATAACGTCTTCGCCCCCAATGCCGAAACCAGCAGGAGCACAATCAGCCACTAGCCGTTTCAAGGCGTCAGCTGCAGAGTTGTAGTTTAAGCATCGGTCAAGAGGTAGAGTTAGCTTCTGTGCCTTATGATCTTCACCTGCACCCCAGAAAACTGTAACCGTAGGGGACACCGAGTTATATATCTGTTTTTGCTGCCATTTTAAACTGCGAGGCATTTAGTATTATTAAATTGAGTATTTCATACACTGGACAATCTGTCTATTGTCCCAAACTCTAAACCCAAGGAAAAGGACGCATATATGGCCAGGTGGTGAACTTGAATATACACGTCGAATTAAAGCCTTGTTCAAAGGATCTGACCAGCCGTTTGCTGGCATTATCCCTCTTTCCAGGATGTATTTCCTAGCCTCCAACTGCGACAACAGGGCCACCAAAAAGTCTCTCATTTTTCATGACAACAGCAGCGACGGGGACCATAACAAAGGTCATTTGCATGGCATTGGTGACAGCCAGGATTGCCTTGTCCCGCAGCTCGCCGTCCAAGCTCTTGAACAAGAAACTCTGGGCACCTGCTACCGCACCCTGGATTTCCGTTTGCGAGAAACCCTTGCCAGCCAGTGCTACTGATAAGTCCTTGATAGCGGTTGATTGGTATATCTGGGATGCGATGGCGAGCGCGATAACCTGCCCACCGATCTGCGAGACATTTTGCAGACTGAGTGCAGCACCTGTATCCTCTGGCTTGACAGTCAGAGTAGCAATTGTATAGCCCGTCACCATAGACAGACCAGTTCCAACAGCCACGAGGATTGTTAGCCCGTAAATAAGTCCAGTCGATGAATTCGGATCAAGATAGACCATCAAGGGGCCCCCGCCAGCTATTAAGAATACACTAGCGACGATATAGATCACCTTGTAGATTTTGATAAAGTGGAGGAATGCCCCTGAAACAAGATTGACTGCGACAGCGATGACGATAAAGGGCAGCAGGCGTACGGCTGCCATGAGGGCCGCGTCATTGTTGACGAACTGGAAGTAGATGGGGATATAATATACAACGACGAAAAGTGTTGTGGTTCCGGCTGCTGTTGAAGCATAGAGAAGCACCTGTGTGCGATCGCGCAGCAGATGGACTGGAAACGCACGTCTAGCAGGGGTGGTTAGGAAAGCGAAGTATTGCTGGGCCATATAGAGGACCAAAACCACACCAAACACAACAAATGTTGCAATTGTGCGTCCGTCTTTCCATGGCCACTGTGAGCCGGCCATTGTAAATGCCAACAAGAAGCTGGTCCAGAGGCCGGCGCCGAGGATTGCCCCGACAAAATCAATCGAGGCTAATCGTCTTCGAACACTGACTCCTTGCATCGGATGAATAGCGGGAAGATAGAGAAGGAATGCTGGAGCCGAGACTGCACCAATAACCAAATTGATGTAGAAGGCCCAGCGCCAGGTTGCAGAAGACACCGAAAAGGCACCACCAATAACAGGTCCTAAAACGGCGCCGAGACCCCAGAACATCGCAATCAGTGACATGTAAAAGCCTCGTTCTTTCTCCGTGGTCATAACCGCAAAGTATTGCAGGGATCCAAGGTAAATGCCACTCCCCCCGGCACCGGCAATGACACGGCCGACAATCAGGGCGCTCATGGTCGGTGCAGCGCCGCAAAGAGCAGAACCGGCCTCAAATAGCACCACGGTACCAACAAAAATCCATTTCATATTGAATGTGTTGAATAGGGTGCCGAGGAAAAGAATGACGCACACGGAGCCCAAGGGAAAGCCTGCGCCAATCCATGCGATTTGACTGACATGGCCAAATGCTGCGATCACGGAGCCTTGAACATCTGCTGCGATTGTCGTGTCGAGGCCGTACAGGAAACAGGTAACGTATAGTGAGACGCAGACGACGACCCAAGGGAAGCCCTGTATTGTCCTGCTCGGCTCCGAGTCAACCAAAGCACCCCCCTGTGGTGGTTCCTGGGGGGCCTTTTCAGCATCCCGTTCCCCGCTGTTCTGTGATGCCATATGGGATGGTTGTGAATTCGTTAGTTGGGCGATATCCAGGAACTGGAAGTCTTACTTCAAGACAACACGGCGACCGATGTTCTGAAGAAGACTCGGGGGCGCGAATTGATAGTAAGCAATAACACCGAAGTTCGAGGCTTATACTGAAAGTTGCTTAATTTTGCACATTGGAGGTTCAGATAGGTATGATGAGAAGAGTGGAAAGAAGGACTTGTTACAGTACTTGTTGATATGAATGATATTTTCAAGTTGTTCGTGGAAATCGAGGCGTCAGATATAGTATTGGAAACATCGAAAGAGTGGAAAGGGGGATTTGTTTGCCAAAGGAACTTGAATCGTGCATGATAGCGCCCTTACTCGCCATAGCTTGAGATGTTAGCTTAGAGATTCCATAGTTAAGATTATCAAGCGACAGAAGTACGTTCAGGGTGTATTTCTAATCAACATTGTTTGTCCTTTGTTGCATGACTGGAGACCTACTGCACCGGCATGTAGCGTACATCCTAGTTTCATCCGGATCCTTCTGGTTCTGATTCGCGATTCAAATGTTCTACTCCACTTCGAATGATTGCAACATAGACTGCTCAATCCTGGTACGAACCCCTAGAAAATTGGACCAGAGTATAGTAGAATCATCTGTAACTAGGGTAGTCTAATACTTACAATCAGTTTTGTCACCTTAGTCTCGCTGAGTAAAAGGAGCATTGCTAACAAAGAATGTAACCTGATGGATTACTTGATCCCGGGCGATCATGACTAACCTAACTAATTCAGGCAGACTGCTGCGGGAACTCCCGAAAGTCTAATTGCTAGGGTAATCTTCGATCCACCCCCAACAACTCATGATACTCGCTAGAGTACGTCTATAGCTGCACAATTGCTTCCTTCATACTTACATACGGTTTCACAGATAGAATCGCTTGACTTTCCTCCTTTGTCGAGATCTTTCCCTGCGAAGTGCGAGAGCCCCTTTGAATGTCTGATGCCCGTGGCCGACGAACGCTATCCCAGACCCGTTGGAGACTTGGGATATTATCACGGTCGTAGACATCACCAAAGAGTGCGTTGATACCCTCACTGTCCTCGAGAGCCTGGTTAGCGCCCTGTCCTTGGTACGGAACCATCGTATGGGTCGCATCGCCGATCAGCACGGTCCGGCCCCTAACGTACGTGGGTAGAGGCTCCTGATCGCGAACCTGGAAGAGATCAACTCGCGGAGTACGACTGTATGGTGATCTTGTTAGTATTGGATAGGACAGGAGGAAATAAATAAATGGTCTTAGAGCTCCGAAGCTCATGGCTCACCTGAAAACCCTCTGGAGCCACTGGGGAAATCCCTGGATCCCGTCCACTATCTCTGCCACGCTCCCTTGAGCATTCTAAGAATACTCTAACTGAGATGGTCTCTGGAGACTTGAGTCCGGGACTGCACAGGCGATGTTCATCTGTCCACGGCCACGGCAGGGGTACATCACCACATAGCGGTTGCCAGCATCGCCACTGGCAATTATGGCCACGAAGGTTCCTTCATCAAAATTGAACATAGCCGGCCATTAGCTCTGTTTCCCAATAGCGTCTCTCACGACACTCATTAGGAGAACAAAACGATAGACTGAAAGCCCACAGGGGACTGGCGCTGGATGAGAAGATGGGATCACAGCTTCGCGTACTTTGGAATGGATACCATCTGCGCCTGTAGGGAAAATGGGAAGTTAGTGGGGTTTCATCTAACCCTGAATAGTTTCATTCTCTCCCGATCTCTTTGCTTACCGATAATCAGATCTGCGATAATAGAAGTTCCGTCCTCAAATTCTACCACCCCAGTCTCCGGGTCGACGCCCACAATGCAACTGCCATACAGCACTTTAATCGGATTGCCCTCTCCAACTTCGCTCGTCACTCTCTGTAGCAAGACATCTTTCAGGTCCTGTCGAAACACGAACCATAAGGTGCCGTCCTCGTCCGGTCCACGGCCCAACTGGCTCTTGCTCATTTCCTCTTCCTGGGTGTTGTATGTTCGGTATCCTGCACCCATAATGGCACGGATCTCGTTCCTTTTAATGCCCAGCTGCTTCAGTATGGAGATTCCATTTATACCAACACCAAGGGCAGCAGAGGATTCTTTGAAGTCTTTGCCCCGACGTTCGTGGACAGTGATGTCGTACTGGGGGCATTTTCGGAGGAACGCAGCGGCAGAAAGGCCAGCGATTCCGGCACCTATGATGACGACACGGAGCTTGGAAGGGTATCTGGTGTTGAGAGGCATATTCTTCAAGCGAAAGAGCGATAAGGGTGCTGTCAGCAAAAATAAGGTCTGGAGCTGGGTATAAGAGTCCCTCTTCTATCCCCCATCATTTTTTGGGATAGCGAAGCGTGTTTTGTCTCTATCCAAACTTGCACTCTAATTAATCACACCCAAACTGATATTTACTCATACGGCATAACTACTATGGCGGGTCCAGAGCAGCACGAGGCGGTAGCCATTGTTAGGATGGGTAAGACTCATCTCACTACTCTTTAACTCAGATAAGAATATATATTGATCATATGTTACTTTAGGGTGCCGATGGCCTGGGGGCGTTCGTAACGCACCTGAGCTTTGGGAGTTTCTCGTAAACAAGGTTGACGGTTGGCGGGAGTTTGACGAGCCCCAGTTTTCGACCCGAGGCTTCTATCATCCAAACTCGGATCGCCCAGGTACTATGTCTATGCGTGGTGCATTCCTGGCAGATGAAGATGCCCGTTTGTTTGATCATTCTTTCTTTGGCATGACTCGCTTGGAGGTAGACACCTTGGATCCATCTCAACGAAAATTGCTTGAGGTAACATATGAAGCTATTGAAAATGCTGGTGAGACATGGGAAAGTGTTTCAGGCTCGCGTACAGGCGTTTTTGTGGGCAATTTCTGCCTCGACCATTGGATGATACAGTCTCAAGACTGGGATAACCCGAGACCCTACGCCTTCACTGGTGCCGGAACTAGTATTCTTGAAAACCGAATAAGCTATATTTTCTTTTTTCAAGGACCAAGGTATGTTACGGATGATAAGTCGTGTCTCTTGAGGAAAGTTCTAACGTGGCGGCGTATAGTCTGACTGTTGACACTGCCTGCTCATCCTCCATGTATGCTTTACACTTGGCTGTTAACGCAATCCGCGCTGGTGATTGTGACTCGGCAATTGTCGCATCTGCCAATTGGATCGCAGATACTGGTGTCCAGATTGCACTTGATAAACTCGGCGTACTTTCCGCAAGCTCGAGATGTCACACCTTTGATGCCAGAGCCGAAGGCTATGCTCGTGGTGAGGGATATGGTGCTATCTACTTGAAAAGACCTTCTTTAGCCATTGAGCAACAGTCGCCCATCCGAGCAATGATCAGGGGTACAGCTATCAACTCCAATGGCCGAACAGGGGGTATTACACGGCCCACGATAGGCCGGGGGTTGGGCTTTGGGCCCGGGTTCTAGGCCCAAATTTGGGCTTTGCGGAAGCCTACCCTAAGTCCGCGTCATACCAACCAGAGCATACAAAAGGGACTGGGACCACTGTCCAAGAAGTGAATCCAGAGAGGTGTAGGAGTGTGTGTTCTCAATCTGTAACTATCTGCTACTTGTAATTTCTGTACATCAATGCTTACATAGCATTTCTGTGAAATAAAGAAAAGACAGGTCAGGCACATGTGTAGTGGAGAACCATGCCCCCACTACAAAATGTATTTAGGCTAGGAAATCACCTAGATAAGAAAGTGATCGACATGCCAATGCCAAGGCATAATTGAAACTAGCGGCTTGGTGTTCACTTGGCGCCAAGGCAGCACTAAATCCGCGGGACTTGTCGAGGCCTATATACCATTGATCGTAGGGGTATTTGAAGCTCTTAATATGCCATATGATCTCCTGCCCTATAGTACTAATAGTTTAGTGTCTCTTTACTCTCTTCTCTATATCTAACTACATCTAATATAACATATTGTCATTTCATGATCTTGTCTACTAGCTTGTAGATCTCAACATGACTTCGCAAAGCCCTGCGCTATCCAACTGCGAGGACCATGGAAAACTATGTTTGCATAATTTCTAAAAGCGTCACTGTCATTGGTCACGCCAAGTCTAAGGAAGCATTTGGGCCGAACTCATCAGCTTTTTGGTAGAGTACACTATATACTGGTTTTTGGGTTGCCTACTGATATGCACATCGATGTACCCTACCACGACAGCTCGGGCGAGAAATACGCTGATGCATGCATGACACTGGTAATAAATATGGTATTCTTTCAAATTCAAACACCTAATTAATTACGGAAGAAGCTATGAACTACATGCTAAGAGGCTAATGATTATTATTACTATAAAAAAAAGCAAACATGTGCATATACATTAGCATAGTCCTTGCCCGGGCTGTCGTCGTAGGGTACTATTGATTTCGCATGCATGCACAGCAATTAGGGCAACAAAGCCGGGAATTAAAAATTTGTAGGACAAATTCACACAGCGAACTGAACAGTCGGTGAATTTCTTGGAACTCCGCAGCGCTTGGAGATCTTCCTGTATGTGTCGAAATGGTGAGTCTGGTAACAAATCGGTGCTGCACAGCTGCAGGAAGAAGTCGGTGAGACCATTAGAATGTCGTCATAAACCTGCTGTTCCCTAAGTAACAAATGATCGACAGCATAGCTTTTGTTATACATACATGGCAATGCTGTGCAGTATCGATATCTTCAGCTCAGCCTCTAATATCAAGAGTGATCTTCCTCACAGACCCCGATCGTATACATGCAGTTTTGGCCACGGGCTCCAAACTATTGCTGTGGTTCGCTGTTGATATGCAACACACAATGATCGGATTCTTATCTTCTCCCTGAGTGGGTGTCCACATGCTCTGCAGAACTATATGCGTGGTGTAAATTGATAACAAACACATTACTCGCTTGAATACTGGAAGTTTTATTTCCCTTTGCTTGAGATTTATCGCAATCACTATATCAAACGTCGAACATATCTAGTACCAATATTATTATAGCGAAATCGCCCATCTCATGAGATTAGAGTGGATATGTACGTAGGAGATCTACCCCTTACATAGTGGCAATAGATCGTTGATACCATCACCATCAATATAGCCAGAACTAAACGCGCGTCGTCATTTTGTAAAATATTTCCGCATTTCAAGCATCCTGTAACCCGTTACCGCCCGTGGTGAAACTTTCCCTTGCTCCGACTATAGCTCGTGCCTCGCAGCTGCAGCCTGCAGGTTAGAGCACATCGCGGGAGATTCACTAGAAACCAAAGTATCATTGTAGCCTAAGATAGATTGGGAGATTATCGGCGGAAATTTTTCCCATAAGCTCCGCTTGAATGCATGTGTAAATGTTAATGATCAATACGCAATTTGGCTAGGGTACGTCATGGAATGTAAGATCTCCACGAGCTTTACTCGAATAGATAGGTAGCTATCACTGGAATTCACGAGTCTGCATGTTGTAATGTAATATAACATGGTGAAAATTCAGCCTTTCAATCAAGGCTAGGTCTGTGCCCTTGTAATAGCCCTGTTAATAGCCTTGGCCATCAAGATCACATTATCAGAAGATATGGGAATCTCATGGCCCTTGCCGTGGACGAAAGCAGACCTAACTAGCTCATTACATGCCTTGCTAGCTGCCTCGGCCTTTTCCTTGTCTCGATCGTGACATCCCCAAATATGAGCCGTCGGTATATCAAGAAGCCCATCGGCTGGATTGAACTTCGATCCAAATAATTCCTCCGCTAACAAATCGTGGTACTGGAGCAAGCCCGGAGCAGAAAAAAAGATCCCCACTTTGAAAGGCAGCTGCACGGCTTTGTTGTCTTTCTGCTCTCGCAGTTTCTTGAACATCCACGACATGACAAAGGTAGCACCTAGACTGAACCCCATGACACCATCGTACGGGCCCTCGGCTGCCACGTAGCGCTCCAGATCATCGAATGCCTTTGCACAAGACTGTGGTAACATTGGGTTGCAATAGGCGAATGTTTCATCGTCGGGAGGCAGTAAGTCTCTCAAATCTAGTCTTTTATTAGAATTTGTTGATCGATAAGCTTAAGGACAATCAAACCTTCGTTCAGCGCCGAGGGAAAAGTTCCATCGACGAATTCATAGCTGTGGCTATTACCGAGCTCATGTCGAAGCGCAGCTTCAATTAATGTTAGCTCAATGTTTTGTGATGGACTTGGTGGATAGAGGTACCGGTTTGCCGTTTGAAGATCTATAGAGTTAAAATCGAAATAGTCAGCAAATTTGAGTTTTATATGACACCAAAAATCAATAGTTATATCTTACCTCCGAATTGGTGCCCCTGCCATGGAGACTGTCGTAACTGTCAGCTACCTATGACCTTAAGTTTGAGAATTCAGGAAAAGCATACCATAGAAAATGCATGTTGACAGAACTATACCGCAGGAAAGACCTAAGGGGGGTGAAACATGTATATTTCTTGGAGACTACCAACTACACACGCCGTCACACCCCAATATGTATGTAACGCCGCAACCAGAAAACATCAGAAAAAGCCCCGAGCGGTATCCCTTTGGACGCGCGTTTGCCGTCTGAATATTGGGTAACGTGGATTGAATGATTGGCTCCAAGGTGGATGATATCCAGACCCTATCTCTATACCCCGTTATTGGGTTTCCTTGTTTTGATCTGTATCACATCTGGGACAGTATAGGCACCCAACTAGACCCCAATTTATATTTTCCATAGCTATTTTTGTAGATAAGATAGAAGATCTGACTGCAGCAACGGTCCACGAGTGTAAGTCTCAGATGCAAGGAATACCTAACCTATCTCTTTTAGGTCAGGCCGTGTGCCTCTGCGTGCTAATATGCACCCCCCACTACTCTACATATTCTAAGTCGTCATTACGGAGTAATCCGTAGGGAAATGAGATTGTGAAATGATTTATGTTAAGGTGATGCCATGCCGCATGTCCGGATAATTTCTATTTCCCCTGGTTATATATAGACGTCCGCTGCGTGGTTCATGTTTTTACTGACTTTGCATACATCTAAAAAAAGACCCTAAAAAGACATTCAAAAGGAACGCCCGAAAGAAAATTCCCTCCTTGTTACATATGACGTCCCTTATATCACCCTTAGCCCAGCGAGTAGGATCTACAGGATTCTATATCGCCAAGGACAGAGGCCGCATAAGCTGCCAACTATTATAGATTGTGAATTAGATTTCCGGACTTTTAGACTGCCAAGTGTCAAATATTTTGGTCGTGGGACCTGCATGCAGTTCACCGCTACCAACATATGTAAGTAGGCAGAAGAATGTGAGACAGTATGGTGACATAGAGATTGTCTTAAAGGGGTTATCAGGCGCCATTTCCCTTTCAGAGTTCCTCCCCAAAGCAAAGAACAAGCGTCGAACAATAACAAAAAGGCAAGATGTCAAGGCCAACAGAAAAAACACTGTCACCGTTGGCAATTGTTGGACTGTCGCTCAAATTCCCACAGGATGCGGTTTCCTCAGAATCCTTTTGGGACATGATCGTCGAGGGAAGGTGCGCCTCAACGGACTTCCCTCCAGATCGATTGAACATCGACTCCCACCATAACGTGAACCCCAATCGTCTTGATAGCTTATCTCTACGTGGGGGTCACTTCATGAAAGAAGATGTTGCCTTGTTTGATGCGCCTTTCTTTTCTATTACTGCCGCAGAGGCAGAGGCTATGGATCCCCAGCAGAGGCTGATCCTGGAAGCTACCTTCCGAGCACTGGAGAATGCTGGTATTACCATGGAAGGAATTGCACGATCAAAGACGTGCGTTTTTGCTGGCTCATCAGGTCATGAATATCTGATGTTGCAGGCAAAAGACCCCCAATATCTACAGAAGTGGGGTATCACAGGAACGACTGGAAATATGGTGGCGAACCGTATTAGCTGGTTCTTTGACCTCATTGGACCCAGTGCTGCAATTGACACTGCTTGCTCAAGCAGCCTGATGGCCATTGACATGGCATGTCAGTCCATATGGAGTGGTGACTCAACCATGGTATGTTTGCGTTTCAACCAAGCCTATGACATTTCTAAATGATACCTCTAGGGACTGGCGATTGGAAGTAACGTTATCCTGGCACTGGAGACATCACTGATGATGGACAACCTGGGACTTCTATCCAAAGACAGTCGTTGTTACAGTTTTGATGAACGTGGTAATGGACATGCACGAGGTGAAGGGGTTGGCGTTCTTGTCATTCGCCCTTTAGAAGATGCTGTACGAGATGGAGATACGGTCCGAGCCATAATAAGGTCTTCAGCGTCTAACCAGAATGGAAGGACATCGGGGATTACGCTGCCGAGTAGCGAGATGCAAGCTACATTGATACAAGAGGTTTATCGCAAGGCGGGATTGGACATGGCAACGACGCGCTATTTTGAAGCACACGGAACAGGTTTGTTCATAAAAATATCTGCAGAACTGCAATCCAAGCTAATATAACACAGGAACTGCCATTGGAGATCCAATCGAAACCGCAGCCATTGGCTCCGTATTTCGACCACATCACTCTCTAGATAATCCATTATACATGTGAGTATAATAGCTCCAGGTCTTGACACACGCTAATAAGATATTCAGTGGGTCGGTGAAGTCCAATATCGGGCATCTCGAAGGTGCCAGTGGAGTTGCTGGAGTCATCAAAACAGTCCTGGCACTAGAGAAAGGGATAATTCCTCCCAACAGTGTGAATCTGCAGAGCCTGAACCCAAGAATTGATGATGATTTCTTGAATATTAAGGTAATTCAAACCAATTCAGGACCTGAGTTATTTTGTCTGACGAGTACAGTTCCCACAAAAAGCTCTACCCTGGCCCTCGGAAGGACTTAGACGAGCATCAGTTAGCTCTTTTGGCTATGGCGGATCAAACGCCCATATTGTGCTGGATGATGCTTACCACTTCATGAAACTGAATGGCCTGAAAGGGAACCATAATACAGTGCTCCCCGCGCAGTTATCTAAATGCAGAGATTGCGATCTGGACACAGAGGGGGGAATTAGTTCAGATGCAACTGGCTTCAATGGACTAACAGAAACAACAAACGACACACCTAAACTCCTCGTCTGGTCAACAGCAGATGAAAAAGGAATTTTTCGACTTAAAGAAACCTGGAAGTCACGCTTCCCCACAATCTCCAAATTGAATAAGGAGAGCCCAAGGTTTCTCAATGATCTCGCTCATACATTAGCGAGTAGACGGTCTCATCTATCATGGAGGTCGTTTGCTGTCACTCGCCCGTCAGATGACCTGGGGGCATTGTTTGACCGATTTTCGCCAGCCTCCAAGTCTCGCGGGTCATTAAATCTTGCTATGATGTTCTCTGGGGTAAGTCTGTGTTTATATTTTGAGATCACTGATACTAAAGGTTTTCTAGCAAGGAGCCCAGTGGTATGCGATGGGGCGCCAGCTTCTCAATATTTACCCCGTGTTCCTGCAAAGTATCGAGGATGCTGGCGAGTATCTCCAGACATTAGGATGCGAATGGACGCCCCTTGGTATGTGAAATAAATCTAGCGGTCATACCGTGGTTCTTTGCTAACATAACTCAGACGAGCTCGAACGCAACGAATCCACGTCGAATATCAATAAGACTGAGTATAGCCAAATCCTGTGCACAATCCTCCAGGTGGCTTTGGTCGATCTCCTCCGCTCTTTGAATATCACTCCCAAAGCGGTACTAGGTCATTCATCAGGCGAGGTGGCAGCAGCGTAAGTAATCTAACCTCTTGAGAGACTATTCTTACCATTTATATCAGATACTGTGCTCGTGCAATATCCAGGCGATCGGCTTGGAAGGTATCCTATTATCGAGGTTATATGAGCAGCAAGCTGGAGAGTTCCAGCCAAATGAGAGGTTCCATGCTTGCAGTGGGACTATCAGAACAAGGCATCAAGCCGTACATCGAGAAGCTCAGCAAGGATCTCGAGGATTTTAATCTCATTGTTGGCTGCATCAACAGCCCCAAGAGCGTCACGGTGACTGGAGAGGTGACCCAGCTCGACTCCCTCAAAATCATACTTGACAAGGATAATATCCTTTGTCGGAGGCTTAAGGTCAATTTGGCTTATCATTCACCTCAAATGAAGGAAGTCGCGGCTCTTTATCAGGATGCGATGGGAGACTTGGAGGTAGATTATACGGGACATAATAATAGCCCCGAGATGGTGTCCTCTGTGACCGGCGATTGGATCAATCCAGGAGAGGTCTCTCAGGCTGCATATTGGGTGAAAAACATGGTCTCTCCAGTGCGCTTCTCGGATGGCCTGACCACACTTTGCTCGGGGTCTGCTCTGAATTCACACAAGAGACTGGACGGTAGTCATCGCAGAACAAGAGATATTGACCACATACTCGAGGTTGGTCCACATTCAGTCTTACAGGGTGCCTGCAAGGATGTATTGAAGAACATTGCAAACCACACACCAACTGAATATCTTTCACTATTGGTACGAAACATGTCAGCGGCTGATACTGCTTTTGCCGTCTTTGGTAATCTGCACATCGCCGGCTATCCGATTGATCTTTCCCTGGTGAATGGAATTGATTCTACTGGACACGACATTCCAAAATCATTGCCAGATTTGCCCGAGTACCCGTTCAACCATGATACTTCATACTGGCATGAGAGCAAAATTAGCAAAGACCACCGGCTACATCCATTTGGCCGGAAAGATCTACTGGGGGTCTCTGATCCGAACTGCAATCCTTTCGAGATGCGGTGGAGGAACTTTGTACGGGTTTCTGAGATGCCTTGGACCAAAGATCATCAGGTGAGAGCATTCTAATACCAATAAATTTACAAGCTGACGAGAAAAAAAGGTCAATGGCACAATTGTATACCCTGGCGCTGGCATGCTAGTGATGGCTATTGAGGCGGCCAAACAGGTGGCAGAGCAAGGACGAATTATTTCTGGATTTAACATCCAAGAAGCCAAATTCCATGCCGCGATGATAGTTCCCCCTGGAACACACGGCATTGAGACTAGCATTTATCTCCACCCCGTCAAGGGCATGGACTCCAACATCTCTGGCTGGTTTGAATTTCGCCTCTGCACGTGTGAGAACGAAGAATGGATCGAGAACTGCACTGGATCTATCCAGATCGTGTACACTTCCGACGAGGATGAGCATGAAATGGACAAAATGCACCAAGAGGAATTGTGGAGCTCGCGATTGGAAGCATACTCGGATGCCATCAAAGCATGCACATTACTAGTGGACGGCTCGTCTCTATATGATCGGTTTTTAAACTCTGGCTATGACTATGGAGAAGCATTCCAACTCATCGAGACATTGTCACTTAGCCCCGCGCAGCCGTGTGTAACTGCTCACGTCAAAAGATTATCTTCTTCAACAGGCGAGACGATCCACCCAACAACGCTTGATGCCATACTGCAAACATCCATCTGGACCGGGGTGGCTTCTGAGACGGAGAATATCCCTACAGTTGTTCTAAAGAGTGTGCGAAACTTGTGGGTTGCGAGCACTTTGGAAAACACATCATCCAGTATTCTGAGGACGTATGCTACTCGCACTGTGGGATCCCCATGTCTGAGCTCTTCATCCGATATCTTCGCATTTGATGAGGCATTGCACAAAACTGTGGTTTCCATTGAGGGACTTGAAATAGAAGTCGACGAGATGGAACTTGCAGAGGAAAGTTCCACTGAATTCCCGGAAGATCTCTGTTATCAGGTTCAATGGAAGCCCGATCTCAACCTACTGAGCAACAGAGAAACCACGGATCTCTGTATAAATGAATACCCCGAATTGAAAAGAGAAACAGAAGATTTCTTTACTGACTTGGATTACATGTTTATGGCGCGCATCGATGAAACCTTGAAAATATTATCTGGCCAACAGCTCAAGCCCTCAATGCCACATCTGCGGAAGTATGTGGACTGGATGATGCATCGACAGCTTAGCGAAGATCAACTGGTTGATCTTGACTATCTCCAAGATGTCGAAAATCGATTGCTGAATCTTAACAAAAGAGCCCATCTCTATGTCACTGTTGCTCGAAATTTACTGAAGTTCATTACCGGTGAAATGGATTCGTCAACCTTCTTTGAAGTGAACATGATGAAAGAGTTTTACTCTGAAGAAGTAAGTCCTCGTGTCCATGCTTTAGTGCCATTGCTTATAACAGGACTAGGTTCAGGAATCCCAGGGGCTCAGGCAGTCTGGCAAATACCTTGATCTTCTATCTCATCTCAACCCCAGAATGAAGATTCTGGAAGTCGGCGCAGGGATTGGATCCATGACAGAGGTTATGCTGCGCACATTGGGGAATACTGAAAAGAGCAACCCGCAGTATGCCCAATGGGACTTCACCGATAAATTAGAATCGTCTTTTGCTGATGCTCAAGACCAATTCCACCAGGAAGCTGGGCGGGTGCAATTCAAGATTCTAGACATCGAGCAGGATCCTGAGAAACAGGGATTCGAGTGTGGCACATACGATATAGTCGTTGCTTCCATGGTGTGCTCACATTTCTTCCTAGAAACTTTTCAATCTCTAACTTCAATGCAGGTCATTCATGCTACTTCGAACATTAAAGCTGCTCTAGGCAATGCCAGAAAGCTTCTAAAGCCGTTAGTGTGATTACAAACGCTTGATATTCCAATTAATCTAACATGTACTATCCAGAGGGGGCAAGCTCATGCTGTACGAGATGATCAGTCCTGGTGTCCGGTCTACTTTCACCTTCGGCCTCCTTGAGGGATTCTGGATCAGTAAGTTCTTCGTCTCTGATAAATGGTCAGACGACAATGCTAATTTTCACAGATTCAGTCGCAGATTCGGGGCCGGGAACTTGCTTCGACGAGAGGCAATGGAACGACCTTCTTCTCCAGACCGGATTCTCCGGCCTTGATTTCATTTTACCAGACTTTGATGGAATCATGTCCCATGAATTTGGTCTGATAGTTTCGACAGCCGCCGAGGACCCACCGGCAGTCTATCCTGTGCCGGAAATTGAAATTGTCTACGACGCTGCCAAATCGGACCAGCAGGAACTTGCACAGTTCCTTGTCAAATACTGCCAATTGAACAAGCTCGCACCTGTCCGTTCTTTCTCTGTCCAAGAGGCGATGGAGCACACGTCTGAAAATCCATTGCTGCGGATCTTCCTTCTCGAGCTTGACGTTCCCATTTTGTCAGAAATTCAACCAGAGCTGTTCCAACAACTTCAGATTCTCCTTTCCTCACCATCACAGGCTCTGTGGATTAACCAAGGAGGAGGAATACTACCCTCCCAGCCGCAATTCCATCTCGTGGATGGACTGTTTCGCGTACTGATGACGGAAGATAGCAAGCGTAAACTTCACCTACTTTCCCTCGAGCCTCGCGGCCCCTTGGATACAAAGCAACGCGATCATATCACAAGGTTGATTAGATTTTTCTTGTCACCATCTACTTCAAATGCAGATACGGAGTACATTGAGCAAGATGGAGTCTTGAACATTTCTCGCCTGATCGCTTCCAAACCATTGAATGAGAGCATATCTGCCATGGCTACCTCGCATCAACACCGCACGCAAAGCTTCGACTGCAAGACTCCACTGCGGTTCAACCCCACATCTCCGGGCCTAATCAATGAATTCGAGTTCATTGAAGATGAGACTGCTTACATCCCACTCGAGCCAGATGAGATCGAGATTGAGATTAAATGCGCAGGACTGAATTCCCACAACGATCTGATTGCAGCAGGCCATTTGAAGGCGAGTGATACTGGATCTGAGTGCTCTGGAAATGTCATTCGAGTGGGTGACGCCTGTGAGCGATTCAATGTCGGTGATTCCGTTGCTGTCCTACACAACGGTTGCTTTGCCACGTCCATTCGCCTGCGGGAAACTGGGCCCGTCGTTAAGATTCCTGCGGGTATATCATTCGAAATTGCGGCAGCTGTTCCAGTTAACTTCGCCACTGCATACATAGCACTCCACACCGTGGCCCGCATCCAGCCTGGCGAGAGTGTGTTGATCCACTCAGCATCCAGAGATACTGGCCAAGCAGCAATCCAGATTGCAAAGAATGCTGGAGCAACAATATTTGTGACAGTTATTTCTGAGAGCAAGAAACAACTGCTTATGGATGTCTACGGCATTCCTGCGTCCCACATTTTCTCCAGCCGCACGGTTGTATTTTCAAAGATGATCAAGCATCGCACCGGCGGAAAGGGTGTCGATATTATTCTCAACTCACTGACAGGGGAAGGTCTGTTCGAATCTTGGAGGTGTATTGCACCCTATGGTCGATTTATTGAGATCGGTAAAGGGGATATTCTATCAAACCAGGGCCTCCCTATGCTCCAGTTCCTCGAGAATGTCACCTTCAGTGGCATCGACTTAGCTGCCATGTCAGTTGAAAGACCTGAATTATGCATCGCTGCTCTCAAGTCGGTCTTTGATTCTATACAGACTGGCGACCTGCATCCATCCCAGCCTATTCACTTATACGGGGTAGGGGAAATGGAGGAAGCATTCCAAAAGATGCAGACTGGCCAACATATTGGTAAAGTGGTACTTGAGATGCGTGGGCATGACCAGGTAAAGGTAAAACTCACCATTTCCCTTTTATATACTTGTTCTGACAGCTCACTCTTTCCTAGACGGCGTTGAAAACCAGACCCAGTTTCACGTTGGATCCCAATGCAACGTTCGTGGTGTCAGGGGCATTTGGGGGTCTGGGAAGAAATATCGCATGCTGGCTAGCAGATCAGGGAGCTCGCTATTTACTCCTTCTCTCAAGATCTGGGGGACAAAGTGAGAAGGGTAAGGACCTTGTCAAGCATCTTGAACTGAAAGGTGTGATGGTCCTGGCCCCAGCTTGTGACATCTCGGATGGAGAATCAGTGAAGAACGCTTTACGTGAATCCCGATCACAAATGCCGCACATCAGGGGGTGTATTCAGGCAGCCATGGTATCGAGAGTAAGTATCGATGTAACTTTGTTGATTTTCAGATCCACTAACCTCCCTAGGATGCTCGCTTTGAAGAAATTTCCCACCAATTCTGGCAAGAATCCATTAGCCCCAAGGTCCAAGGATCGTGGAACCTCCACAAACACCTGCCCCAAGGCATGGACTTTTTCATCCTGCTGTCTTCTCTCTCAGGCATTTTAGGATCCACTGGGCAGGCAAACTACGCCGCTGGTGATACCTTCCATGATGCGCTAGCTCGGCATCGTGTCGGGTTGAGCGAGAAGGCGACTTCCCTCGACTTGGGGTGGTGTGATTTCAGTGATACCATGTCCAACAATACCCGGCCCAGAGACCGTGGTCTAGCACCGGTAACTGAAGCCCAATTCCATGCCCTGCTAGCCAAGTTTTGTGATCCTAGGATTGGACTTCCAACACGGTTAGATTGCCAGACTGTCATTGGCTTGTCATCGAGTGCACTCTCCGACAAGAAACAATGGCAAGATAACCCACTTGTTCGACACCTGATCACCAACGAGAGACTCGGTGGAAAAGAAGATAGTCGATCACACAGCGCCAAGGGGGCAGGGTCGCTGCTGCAAGCCGAAACTTTGGCTGACGCAAATGCGGCAGTCTTGGAATTATCCACTGAAAAGCTTTCAAAGACTGTAAGCATGGCGATGGCGGACGTTGATGCGAACACACCCTTGCACCAGTACGGAGTGGACTCGCTCGTTGCGGTAGAACTGCGTGATTGGTTTGCGGAAGTGCTTCAGGCTGAGTTGGGTGTTTTTGAGATCCTTGGAGGTGCAACGTTGGCTTCGGTGTCACAGCTGGCTGCGAAGAAGAGCAACCTCGTCCAGGCTTCATAGATAAATAGTTGTGTGATTCGTTAAGATCAGACTATAACTGCTATTAAAATGTCCCAGTCTAATCCATATAGTAAAATGATATGATACTTATCAAGTTGTAGTGCATAGGTTTTATAGAGCTCGGACAATTCCTATTCGGGCAATATGGGACCCCCCCACTATGATCTCATCGCTTCTTATCAAACAACATTTTGGCATTCTTGTTCCTTCAGAATCAATTCAACAACAATTATGGCAAAGCTTACTCTCCAGTCAAAGCATAGACTACAGTCAGGACATGAGATCCCAGTTATAGGATATGGGGTCAGTTACCCCGCAAGCACAGACATATGCGCTTCAACCTTGGAAAAGAGCTGACATTGTATGACTATAGGTGTATATGATGTACGTTTGAATCAATACCTCATCCTGGATGCCCTAACCAAACGACAGTCCCTCATCCGCGACTGAGAAGGTTACTCTCGAAGCCCTGAACGTTGGGTTCCGCCATGTACGTCCCCAGGAAAGATCACAAGAAGCCCACACTAAATATATCACAGGTCGACTCAGCAATCATGTACCGCAATGAGAAGCCATGTGGAAAAGCAATTCTGAATTCCAATCTGGATCGATCGCAGATCTTCTTTACGACCAAGATCCCACCGGGATCAATGGGCTATGAGTCTACCAAGCGAGCCATTAATTCCAGTTTACGAGAAGCAGCACAGGAATACTTTGACCTGTAAGCTCCCACAGGAATCAGTCATAAATATTCCCTATCGGATTGGAATCTACAATCTAACCGCTGGAACCCAACCAACAGTATTCTAATCCATGCACCCTACGGCGGCAAAGAAGCCCGTCTGGGCTCTTGGGATGCACTAGTTGAAGCCCAGAAAGCAGGCAAAGCAAAATCCATCGGTGTATCTAATTACGGTATCCATCACCTCGAAGAATTGGAGGCTTATATCCAGGGTGGTGGGGGTGGCCAGATCGATGTCGGTCAGTATGAGCTGCACCCGTGGCTGGATCATTCGGATATTGTGGAGTGGTTGCAGGAGAGAGGTATTGTTGTTGAGGCGTACTCGCCTCTTGCGCATGGGAGTCGGCTTTCGGAGCCTGTGTTGTTGTCTATAGGGAAGAAGTACGGGAAGACGCCGGCGCAGGTTTTGATTCGGTGGAGTTTGCAGATGGTAAGTAGTGTCCATTTGGTTCAGAGTCAAGGATATAATATAGAGTCGGCGTGCTAATAGTCTGTTAGGGATTTGTGCCTTTGCCCAAGTCTACTACGCCGAAGCGCATTCGGGAGAATGCCGATGTCTTTGACTTTGAGTTGGCGGCTGAGGATATGAAGTTGCTTGATACAGGAGAGTATTCGCCCACGGACTGGGATCCGACAGTTGATGAGGATTGAGGTAGATGGTTGCATGTTAGATGAGTGAAGTGGTTGTAGAGTAGAGAAGAGTAGAGGAATCCGGAGGAACGTTGGATTTGTCAGGCCCGTTGGAGGGGCTCTCCGCGGGGTGAACTTGCGACTTTCAACTTTCGGACTCCGATCTCTTCTTCCTTAACACTTGCGATTTAGATCTCAATACATCTATCTCTCAAGTTTCACTTATTCTTCCATCATGAAGTTGATTTTATCCAGTTCGTAAGTGGTTGTTAGTCGATGCGCCTCGAATCAAGTCACTCATCCCTCACAGGAATATTATGCAAGCTGGACGGCAATCCGTCATTCGCCAGCCTCTGACCCAGAAATCAAACGTTGAACTAATCAACTCTCTTCGATCGAACTTCATTGCCTCGCAGCAGGTCGAAACGTCACCGGTCAACGGCACCGAGACAAACGGTCACTCGGCCGTGTCGCATCCGCCCTCATGGACGCTACAGACCAAAGATGGTCTCTATATCCCCGCGATCGACTTTTCACAGCCCGGCCTGTCAGAGGAGCGCGACCAATACGATATCACAGTGAAGCTATTCTACCTACCGGGAATCCCGGTATCAAGGCGGTGCGCACACACCAGAGAGGCAATTGATCTGGTATTGAAGGAACTACACGTCAATTCTATCGATCTACTGATTGTCTCGTTCCCGGGGATCCTGTTTGACGCAGACGACGACAGCGAAGAAGAAGACAATGAGGCAAGCAATGGTGAACCGGACGACTTCGACAGCCTGGTGCAGACATGGCAGGTGTTGGAGTCACTGCACGAGCAGGGCGTGATCGCCCAGCTGGGCGTCGCTGAGTTCGGCAGTGAACGCTTGGCCCGCTTCCTGCCGCATACCAAGGTCAAGCCCTCGGTCGATCAGATCAATCTTAAGGATTGCTGTGTCGTTCCTAAACATTTGATTCTCTATGCGAAACAAGAGAAGATTCAACTCCTCACCCATAACGATTGCCATGATATTCTTCCTGTCGGCACAACGCGGGAACTGCTCGGTCCCGTGGAGAAGAGCGGTGCGGGAATCTTGGCTTCGTCTCCCGAGGCCAACGACGGTATCCAGGGAGATATCGAGCCGCAGTGGGTGGTTAAGTACACGGCGGTCATCAAGGATCGCGGAGTAGTCGAGAACAAGGGGTATTTTGCATCCGCTGATGTCGGCAACTGTCTTAAGGACCGGTCATGAATGCTTTTCTTTTTCTTCTTTGCGTCAATAAGGATATTTGTCGTGACAAGCGTGGCGTTTCTTTTTGCTTTAAAATCGAACATAGCTGGTGTGGGAAGTTGCATCCATCTCTAAAATCAGACGAGGCTGGCTTAACCAAGCATGCTCCTCTTCCGCCCTCTCATGCGCACATCCTCAAGCCTCTTCAGCGCAGAAGGAGCTCCCTTGTAGCTATCCCGGTAACCCGCAATCAACGCATCGAACATAGGCTCCGAGCGCGGATGCGTGCTCCCAATTGCCCGCTCCAACACGTATAAATCAACCGCCCGGTCCTCATCCTGATTGCTCTGCGACGCAAGACCGAAATCAATCAACACGATGTCCCCCTCTGTGGAGGGCGAACCAGCACCATCAACGGCACCATTTGCATTCGCAGACGGGCGCAACATGAGATTACTCGTGGTCAAGTCTCCGTGCACAACACCAGCCTTGTGCAAGACACCAATGGCAGCGCCCATTTTCCTCAGCAAGCCGCGCACACGCGCCTCTTCGTTTTCGATCTGTGACTCATCCAACGAGCCTTGGTTCTGCTTCATCCATGCTTCCCACTGCTCGAGAACTACCCGGACAACAGGCCCGTCAATCCACTCCATCATTAGCCAGGCACCGCCCCACCCGCCTTCTGTGCCGCCGTGTCCCTCCCAGTCCATGGCTAGGAGGGCTGGAACGCTTACGCCCTCCCGTATGAGTTTTGCCAGGCATCGTGCTTCTGAGGTTATCCGGTGGCGGGTGAGTCGGCGGTCGAGAATTGGGTGGCGGTAGGGTTTTGATGGGCGGATCTTGAGCGCGGCGGGGATGGAGGGGTTGAGGGAGGTTGTTTTGTAGAGGTGGGCTTCGGCGCCTTGGATTAGGAGGGTTGGTGGTGGTGTGGTATTGTTGAAGGGGGAGGGGAGAGGTGGGGGTTTGTATTCTTCCATTATGAGAGAGTTGTAGAGGAGAGGTTGAAAAGTGGGAAGGGATGAAGTGGTTGAAGAAGGAAAAAGTTGGGGTGGGGCGGGTCGGAGTATAACCAGTTGTATACATAACCAACTGGGATTATTTAGATTTTATATAGTTGGATTTAATATTTTAATGTATAGATGTCCCATAGATGTTTAATAGATGTAATTGACAGAAGCAGAAGCAAAAACATAAACAGAATTCAATATTTTGAAATCATCAATGCATAGTGTCTCATAATTATGTGGACGCATGAGTTCACAAACCCCTATATGTATATCCTTTTCGGAGTATCTCCATATTAACAATTAATCAGATGAAGATCAGGGCGCACATTAGCCAACCGACAAGTACCCTGATACATCCTCTCAAGAGTCGACGCCATAACCTCTAGATCACTAGACTCCGACGACCAATGCTTCAGCGTGCGAATCGACAGCCTCACCAAAGCAGTCCAATTCACCGGTAACTGCACCTGCCACGTACTAGGGTCCCTTGATGCTTCGAGCTGATATAAGACAGCCCCGAGGATATGCACAGCACAGGCGAAGCTAGCACGCACCACGTTCCAGATCCACTCGTGTCGGAACTGATACCAGTAGCTTGGTATTAGCGTGACGCAGTTGTCAATGGCCTTTTGCGCTAGATGGAACACTTCGGCCCACATTGGATTGTTCTTTTTGATGAATGTTGGCATCCCCTGGAAGTGCATCGCGAGGTAGAACGCTGGTCGGTAGATCCTCTCCAGTGCCATGTGGTACCGACCGCGGAAGAAGAACCTCAGGTCTGGATTGTCTTTTGCGGATTGGATCCCCGCTAGCGAGATTTGGTACCTTTTGGGAGAGTTAGAAGGAGAGTCGGAGACTTTGGGGCTCGTGGCTCATACCATGATGTTACAACACGCTCCGCGTCCATTGTTTTTCTGAGGAGATCGGGGATATCTTTGGTCCAGCCCTTTTCGCCTTGACGCCACATGTCAGACACTATGTCATTAGTGGTCCGGCGGTTACAGATGGACCCGATGTAGAATTTCCAGCCTTTCTCTTCTTCAGTGCCATCTAGTTCCAAGCCTGGCCTGACTGCGAAATCTTGATCTTCGTCCATTTGGTCATATGAGGAAGGAGATCTGCGAGAGAATTTAGGGAATGGATCTGAATAGCCTAGGCTTTCAAGACCACTGCTCCAGAGAGGGAGCTCGCTCTGCATCTCACTGTTGACAATGCTTAGTATGATGAACATATAAAAGCCCGGTGAAAAGAACCTACTGTTCCGCTTGGATACAGGACCAATATAGTCTTGACTCCAGGTTATGGTAGTTGTCATCAGCAGTCCACTGTTCTCTACACAGCGATCGCAAACGAACTTCCAATCTGCAAGATGCCTGCTGATAGCAGAACCAAGCTTGTAGAGGA